TCATACTGCATTTTATATAATTTTTTTTTTGCTGATTTCGATGTGGCTAGCTGCAAAATATAATCTTTCATTACTCTTTTAGGCATGTATGCATAAAATGATGACAGAAAACATCATTTGATAATGGTGATACTTAAAAATTTTGCCAAGAAATCATAATTTAGATTTTGATTCTAAAATATTAATGCATTACTTTGTTTTAGGTGGCTTATTGCACATTTTAAGTGTATTTTTCAACGATCAATTTGATCCAACCACACGTATCTTAGCAGCAGAATTGTTAGCTAAAATGCAAGCAGATAAATTGACAGGACCACGATGGTCACGATTTATTGTGCGCTTCTTACCACCTATCTTTACGGATGCTCTAAGAGATTCGCCGCAAACAGCGTAAGTGATTTTTTTCTCCTTTTTTTTCTGTTTTTTTTTTTTTACTGATGCCTTATTTTTTATTATTTTTTTTACAAAAATTTTTTTGACTAGATTTAACAGCTCTTGTTTTCAGTTCATTTATGCTTTGAAAATTTTGAATGATAATGATCTAACTTGAATTTTTTTTTTTTTTTTTTTTTTTTTTTTACATACAGTTGCTATTTTTACAAGAAATTTTTGAGAATTTTAATATTATACTAAGTACAGATTATCGATGTTCGATTCAACACATGAAAATCCGGAATTAATTTGGAATGATGCGGTGCGTTCTAATGTCAAAAATATTGTTTCGCATAAATTGAATGAATTGAATTCATTGCAATTGCAGAATCCATGCACTAAATGGAAGACGGTTCATATTTGTTTTATTTACCCATTTTTTTTTCTTTTGTTTCAAAATATGTTATTTCAAATGAAACTTAAATATCACTAAGCTATCCATTATGTTTTTAAGATTATCTAAGCGTTCTTAACTACTACATATTTGCGCCACTGTATTGCTTAATTGAGATACTTTTTTACTTCATTTGTATTGTACAGAGTTTTTTTTAACATATTTGTTCTTCTCTTTACTGTTTCAACTTTTCTAAGCCGAAATAACACCGTACGATAATCATTATTCTTAAGCGATAGAAGATGCAAGAAAATTAAATTAATTGCTCGAATTTCGAGTGACCTTTAAGAATTCTGAGAAATTTGTTAAACTTCAGGATGTAGCAAATGAAAAATGCGCATATTCTGATATAATGGACGATGAATTAGTAGTTGCGGGAGTATTTTTACGACTTTTTGTGGCAAATCCATCATGGCAAGTGCGTCATCCAAAACAATTTGCTGCTGAGTTAATTGAAAAAGTTCTGGAATGTATGGAACGACCAACACCTGATTTAGATATCATTACATCTGCATTCGTTGCTTTACTTTCCAATCATCCAGCAGTTGCTAATCATGTATATATTTGAAATATTTTATTGCTCTATCAATTTTTTAGTCAAATTTCTCTCTCTTTGGTCTAACTTCTGAAAACCATGATAGAATAATTTGGAATGAATATACAAGCTCAACCTTATTTTATCGATGCTAGTACGCCATGAAAATAAATAAGTCGTCTTAGCTTTTTCTAATTTTTCCTGATAAACGTGAAATTCATTTTGCTTTTCAAACAAAAAAAAAGAAAAGCAATTTTTTTAGATTTATAAACTCATCCTTAACTTGTTGATGCTACTATCTCACAATGATAAATAGAGTTCATTTTTTCCTAGATTTTGATTTAAAGTTATTTTTAATATTTTTTTAAAAATTTTGCTTAGAATATATTTTTTTTTTTTAATTTAAGTGATCCTATGATTTTTGTTGAGTCTAATTCCACAGCTAGCTATATAATGAACCCGAATATGATTTATCTCGCTGAAGGAAGATTATACTTTGAAAATGAATGTTAATAGTAATATTTTTTAAGCTACCAGCACAAGGTTATTTACCACAATTTTGTGCGTTAATGTCATCATCAGTTGGTCATGCTTCCCATTCCGCGATTGTAATTCTTTCACATCTTGCCGAAAATACGGTTTGTTTTCGTCCCACAACTTTTTTTTTTTTTTGTTTATCAAATTTTTTCTTGTTTATTCATTGATCAAGATTCATTTCGTTTCTTTTCAATTAATTCTATATTTTAGACTCAATTTGTTAGTTATCTAAATCTGTTCATTTATATATTTTTTAAAAATATTTCATTCAATCCATTTCTTTATACTGTTAATTAATAAGTAAGATGATAATTATGGAAGTTTTAGTACTGCGCTGATTCGCTTGCTAAATTGAATTGCATTGGCGGCATTATGAAATCGATGAAACAACAGCCAGGTTAATTTTAATTCGGAATTTTGTGAACTTTAGATGTCTGATATTTTAGTTTACTTGCCAATTTGATCTATTTTGAACTTTAAGCCAATTAATTGATTAAATGGAACATTTTGATTCTGATTAAGAGTTTTGGAAAACACTATATTGTTATCAGTAAGATTGTTACTGATTTGCTGATTTACTAGGTAACGGAATTCTTGACTGAATATACCAGCTATAAATGATACCTTTAAATTAGCTACTTTAACTGTCATTTGTAAATTTACTGTAAATCTAATTTCGTTGAGTTTTACAGCGTTAATAAGAGATTCAGCGCATGCATTAAAATGTTTGTTGAAACGAAACTGCAGCGATCTTGCTGCACAAATGCTCTCTACTGGCATGATTGAGTATTTGTTGCAATTATTGGGTGATGATATGAAAGGTTTGTGACAATTATGAAGAATGAAATTAAACTTTTAAATTTTATTTCAGTAAATAGTTTGATCAATTATCACATATTTTTGCTTGTAGAAAATATTGTTTATGGTCATAATTTAAATTACTTTTTATTCATTTCATCAATTTACCGGAATTTCTATAAATGAAAATTTATATTTTACACTTCTCTTTCGTTTAAGGTGTCGATACTGTTGCTGCAGCAAAAGCAGAAATAGTGGGTGCGTTAAAAAATGTTTCGTTAGATTTACAATATGGAGCTAAAATTGCGGAAATTTTGGGTGAATCTTCTATCTGGGCACAGTACAAGGATCAACGACATGATCTTTTCATTCCAGCAAATAATGTGCATTCCATTACAGGTGAAAATTTCACGAAATTTCGTTATTTTTTCAGAAAAAAAAATGATAAATATACCAAAGTGGTACCATTTGAACATCACTTTATGAATTTTCCTATTGAAATTTTGAAAATTTTAGCACCAAAAATTGAAATTTTACTTTTAGGCGCACCATCAGGCATTGCTGGTTATTTAACTGAGCGAATGTTTGCACCACCTTCTACAAATTTCACACCGCCTCCTGTTTCTTCTAAAAAACTAAATCACGAATAAATCGACGAATTTCGATTTGATTTGATTTGATTCTTTTGCTTATTTTTGTATTAATCTTAAGTGTCCTTTTTGAAATTTGTTTTTTTTATACATTGCTCTGTGATATACAGAAGAAAATAGGTGAATTAAGAATTGATCAAATTTTATCTTTTTAGTGTTAATTTAGCCTTCAAACTTTTACAGTTCAAATTTAGAAACTTTTATCGGTGTAAGTTGATAAGAACCATCCATAAATTTGTTTGTATGTGGAAAAGTGCAAAGTTGCGGTTAATTTTTATGCTTCCATTAGAAGAATATATAAAAGCAAATTTTTATTGTTTATTAAAATGACTGTTCATCATTTTGTAAACTTTTTTCACTTCTATTTCCAAAATGTATCTGTATAATATTTAAGAAAAGCCAAATAGTCATCGGACTATAAATGCATGTATTTTCTATGTTTGACATATTATCATTGCTTAGTTGTCTTCAAGCTGTTTTCTGGCTTTCTTATCAATCATTAAGTTCCTCTTTTTTTATCAGCAGAAACTATTGCTGGCTTTTTTTTTTCATTTCCCTAATCTTTAAACTGTTACCATACACATGAAATTCTCTTTTATTGATGAGGAATTTACATGTTTTACAGATTTCAAAAAAGATTATGACTTCAAATTCTGTCTTCAAATTTCTCTCTTGTTTAACTTTTTTTTTCACTTTATTTATTTCTAATTTAAAATTTTCATTTCAAGCTTAAAATTTATTTTTCTTGTTCCGTGCCTTACTACTGTGTTATTTTACATTATGAAAAACTTTTGAAAATGAGCAAAAAGATTTTCGTCTCTAATAAGCTTTAAAATTTGATGACTTTTGATACAATTTTAAATTAAAATGATTAAAATATCTTTTTTCATTCATTTTTTAAGTATAATTTTTTTTTCTTTCTCTGACTTTTTTGCAATCATATTTAATCAATTGTATATCACCATATCATATAATGTCTATTATTCTTGATAATGCAAATATTAATTTTTATTCATTTCTTATACAAATTGCCATATTTATTCCAAATATTTTTAGTCTTTTGATATTCTTTGACGCTTATCAATTATTGGATGTGTACACTGTGAAATAAAAAGATGAATAGTTTTTTATTTTGTTCAATAATATTCACATAATTTTCAAATTATTGCAGATCTTATCAAACAGTTAATTACTTGTAATTGAACCATAACAAATTTACATAAATTCCAGAATTTTTTCCCTTGAAAATACTGCAAAACATTTCTTTTTTTCGAATCATTTCATTTAAATTTGGCTATTAATTCAAATACGACTATGATTTGAGTTTTGTCCTTTAAGCAATCAATGCTTTCAATTTGTTTTGAAAATTTCCATAATACCTTATTTACATTCTTCAATGATATCATTATCAGATGAGAAGTAAATTTTGATAAATTTGATTGGACTAGGATATTATGAAGAGGAGTGTAACCATTTAATGATTATATGAAGTGCCAATGCTATATTGCAATACATTTTATTTACTAATCTAATGAAACACTTAATTAGATGATAATAAAGTGATAAGAGTTATCATGAGTGATAGTGGATGTCACATGAGTGATAGTGGATGTCACATTGTTATGTTAATTAAAGACTAATTACAGTCACTTCAATGATTAGTACTATCGTTACTACTACGCTACTACTGCAGAGTTTTGGTCATTTGACAATCAGTAATGCTCGTTTGTTTTCGGTTTGTTAATTTAATCAGTGTGACAGAAATAAATTTTACAATTGTTAACAATTTTAAACTATTTCAAGTCTTTTTCTTTCCTTTTAAACATTTAGAACAGTGAAAAATTATTGATATAGAAATTTAGAAATAAGCATAAGAATTTGAAAATTCCAAAATTTATATTTTATTGTAATTACATTCAATAACGCTTATCGTAACATCTCTCAAATAATTTTTTTTCCTCCTGAAATGATATGGAAATTTTTAGAAATAAATGAAATTTTAGTAAAATTATATCCTCTAATTATAGCTTCAAATTTGTTCAAATTTGAATTTAAAAAAAAAAATCAAATACTGAAGAGTTGAACAATAATTTCTATCATTCATTTGTATAAATTTTAGGTTAAACGATGCTATCATGAATTAGAAAAAGGTCGTAAATTTTTGCAACAAATTAAACATGAATTACTAATTGACGAATATAAGCGTCAAAAGCAACATATTCGGGCCTTATTGTTAAAGCAAAATTCAATTTCAATATTTAATTTTACCACCACAAAATATAATCCATCCACTTGTTCAGCGTTTGTTGCATACTTTTACTATTCATTAATTGAAATTAATTATATATTTTGCTTAGTAAAGATTTGAAATTATCTTAAATACAAATATAATTAATGCTTCAATGGCATGAAAATGAGATAAAATTAACTTATAATTGTTGGTGTTAGTTCTAAATTATTAGTTTAAATTGTTATTTTAATTGAAGTTAACCTAAACTTATTAATTTAAACTATCATTGATTTAAACCAGAAAGGAAAGGATGAATTTTATACCAAAATTTGCTAACATAATCATCTAAGACTATCAAATTTAAATTAATATTAAAATCCTTTCTTAATAAGTTAACAATTAGCATATTTTCCTAAACTGCAACTATTAATTGTCAGCCTTGCATATATTTATAACATATTAAAGTACTTGATAATAAGAAATGAGAATATGAGAACTTAAACATCAGTAAATACTTAACTATGAGGAGATATGCATGAATAAGTTTTATTAATATTATTGTTGATTTCAGTATATCCATTTCCATTTCACGTTTTAATGGAACTTAAATTTTAACACCACCAATGATTATTCCAGTTCTGATAGTAGCAGCAATAGCGGTGATACCGATAATAATAATGATAATAATTATTATTATAGTAATGATGGTATACTTCCTTTGGTTAATTGGATCAATGAAATGCATGTAAGTTTGAAATTTTAATTGAGAATTTTGACCAATTTTATTCATTGAAATATTATTAAAAATTAAAAAATTGTATACATTATATTTTGGAAGTACAAATCACAATTAAATAATATTATTAAGATTTTGGTAGTAAATTAGCAAATCATAGATTGCAGAAATAAAAAAAAAAAATATCTATCAAAGTTATTTTTTGCATAGAATTCATTAAATTAATATCTATGAATAAGGAATTATTTATTGTGTACATACAAACAAATGATTGGATTCCATATTAAAAAAATATGATTTAAAAACAATAATCGATAATATTAATAAGTATATTTATACGTTTTGTTGAGTTATTTTGAGATAAAGACCGTATTGCAAAGTTGAGGTTTTATCACATTTTCGAAATTTGATACCAGAAATTTATTGAATTAATAAGGAAAAATTATTAACTGTATCATTGTTTAATAAGGATAAATTATTTATGTGCAATAGTCTCATAGCTATTATTATTATTATTATTGTTATTATTACTATTATTTTAGCCAAAAATTAACAATTTCTAATTTCAGAGCTATTTATCAAATTCAAGAGACACTTGTGAAGGACCAGAATTCCACAATATTACGACAGTAACTATGCCACAATTAAAATCATTTTTTTCACTATTCATAATTAATCATGGCTTACCGCTATGTTCCATATGTGATCGTATGCTTGCAAAAGTTAAAAGCATTCTTTTTTCAACAAATTCTGCAGGATTCACTGTAAGTATCAAAGAAAAATTGCTAAGCATAATCGTCGATTAATCTTAGTATCATTTATTTTATAATATTATGGCCATTACAGTGATATCCTAATGATAGCATATACAGTATCAGAGAAAAATTGCTAATCATAATCATAGTATAAGAAGGAACTGAATACGCTTTATATAATAGTACCATAATTAATTGAAAGTGATATATTACTTTAAAGTAATAAATATGCTTTTCAGTAATAACTTACATTTTAAAAAGAATTGTTCAATTATCATTCTTTCTCAAAAAGAATTGTTTAATTATCATTCTTTCTCATAATCTACAGTAAAATTTTACAACGAAGAAATATTTTAAAACATAAAATTAGAACTTCTTTACAGTACACCGAGCAAATACTTTATCAATTTTTTCTTACTCATATACCTGCTATTGAAACGATTTGTTCAGGATTGATACCAGATTGTTATCATTATTACAAAACAAATGGTATAAATTTATATAATTAGTAACTAATTGCAGTTAATAATCAATACATTTATTAATTTGGATAATTAAATAAAATTAATTAAAATTCTTTTTTGAATTTTAACTATTTCTCAGTGACTGATAATATATGTGATAGGACGAAGACCAAAAATATTATTGAAAAAAGCGATGAAAGAATGAGAGAAGATAAATGGATGACAGTTTTTAAGCTACAATGACACTTAATTAAAAGTTAATCGTACTGATTTGATAATATCAGTCGATTAATAAAATGAACTGAAAAATGTTTCACTAATATAACAAACTTCAAATTTGCTTATTTATTCATTCATTGTAAAATAAGCAAATGATATGAGCATTGTTTTTGAAAGAATTTCGAATATCTTAGATCACTCTGTCCTTTTAATCTATAATAGTTTTAGGACATTCTATTTGGTAGCAATGCAAACTTTTTTTTTTTAAAAAAAAAAAACTTTTTTGACCTTTGGCTTCACCGAACTCTAAAATATCACTGTTTTTTGGTATTATTCCTAATTTTACCTGTTGAATTTTGATAAATTGAAAAGAAAATTGAGATACAGAGAGAGAGAGAGAGAAAGAAAGAAAGACTACACGCATATGCGTTATATTAAATAATTGAGGAGTGAAATAAGCATTAACTGTGAAGAGAAAGTAATTTATTAATACTCTTAAATTTCAAAAAATTTAAAAGCCAAAAATTTATTATATTTGTTAAAAAAAAGAAAATCAAAACTTTGAAATTACTACATCTTTTGTTTCTACATTTAATTTGAAGCATTATCAATAACGCCTGCTGCAAAATGCGCCCAATGCAACATTTGTATGGCTACAACGACATATGTTGAGGTTTTCTTTTTTTTTTTTTCGAAAAAAACCAGGAATGCCTATAAAGGTGAAATATAATATTCTAAAATTTATATATATATAAGCTAATAGCATTAATGAATATACCTTAAGTAATGTTTTATAAATTAATCTTGAAATTTTAATTCTATTGAAATTTTTAACTTTCTAAATTTACTGCTTAACTGAGTTATAAACATTTTTCAGAATCGTATCTTATTAAATCAAGCTGTAATGGATTATATTCACAATTGGATCGAATTTTATTTGCATAAAATTTGCTTAGAAGCTAGTCGATTATTTCCATCAAAATTTTATTGGAATGGAATTAATTACACTCATGTTTGTTGTAAAAATTTCAATAAAAATTCCATAACTCTAACAGTCATATTTTTCTCTTTCCTTTAAAATCTTTTCAATGAATTAAATTAAATTACATTTCTAATTATTTTATATTGTTCATAGATCAATTCATTTTCTTTTTTCAGTGCAGGACATGGATGCATAAATTTGTTGTCAGTTTGATAAATCGTTTAACCAAAAATATTTTACCGGAAACATTCTGTTCTATGGTAAATTTCATTTCTCGAATTCGTTAAATAGGGTAATCGAAGATAAAAAACCGATGAGAATTATTTTAGTACTGATATCAGAAATGGAATAATTTTTGGATATTTATTTAAGTAGACAGATTGATTTTACAAAATTTATTTTTACATGACACAGCAGGTCATCTTATTGATCATTTAAACAGCATGCCACTGTTCCGCAAATGGATGAAAATCATTTTCAGAAATTGATGAGAATTTGTCCTAAAAATGATGTTCTGGAAATATTACTGAATAGATCTAAATAATAAACAATTACATTTAAAAAAAAAAAAAAATTGCAATCCGGAATGTTTGAAGGACCAGTAATTTTATTTCTCTCCATTTTTATTTCATCCTTTTACCCATATTTTCTTAACTATCCCTTTTTCTTCCCCACATGCAAGAAATGCCAACTTTTAGTACAAAATATCTTCAATTTTTGATAATTCTTTCCTATAATTAACTTTTCTCGTATTTTCAATAATTATTGCAACTCTTTTGAGTTAATTACTACTGACAATTATGTTTTATTTCATTAATTTGATAACATTTATTACATTATTTTAATTTCTTGCTAAGTAACAATAAGGCTAACAACTGATTCGTAGGATTCGATTTTGATTACAATTTAAATATGCAAATTCAAACCTCAAAATATTTTCGTCCCAAATTTGTTGCACAAAGTTTTCTTTGGTAACAATTTTATCAATGATAAAAATTCATCTAATCATCTAATCGTCGAATTATTTGATATAATTTTCAGCTAAATTATTTCTTATTTTAGACATTGAAATGGTGCAAACCGTATGAAATACCAAGCATTATTGATTGTTTGGAAGAATTTTGCAATGAAAGTTTTCCGGAAGAATGGAAACTCACAATTTGCGGTCTCGTACATAATAATTCCGTCAATTCGGCTGCCTTTCCTGAATAACAAATTGTTGTTAATTGATGAACAAAAAACGAAAAATCACAAATCAATATTTATGATTGCTGTTTAAGTGTAGTAATTCGTTTCATTTTGATATTTTAACAGCTATTCTTCAAATAAATATTTTTTATTACTTATCATTTTTTTTTTTTTTTTTTTCATAAAGCAAGTTAGAAAATTTTCTCTGAAAAGGAATTAATAATTAATAGTTTTTCCTCAATTTTACAATATTTTCTGTGTTTTTTTTTTTTTTTTTGTTTTATTATTTTATTATTTTTTTTTTTTTTTTTTTTTGTAATTGAATATATTTATTAAAGATATTGCAAAAAAAAGATCTGTTAATGCTACATGGAAAAAATGCTATCAGTAATGAATAATGCAGTGATTAGTGATGCAATAATATCAATGTTTCGTACATTTAAATATTTAATTGATTTGTTATTATTATTACTATTATTATTGTTATTATTATTATCATCATCATCATCATTATTATTATCATTATCATTATTATTATTATTATCATTACTGTTATTATTTCATAATTGTTCATCGGCTTTCACAGCATGGAAAGTTATCATTCGAAATAACATTTCTTGATAATATATGTAATATAAAGAAAAGCAGTCATTTCATTTCGATTAAAGCAAAGAAAAAGACAATTTCCTGAAAAGGAAACTAAAATTAGAAAGATTAAGTTAATTAATTTGATATGAATTATTATTATTCTTTAATATATACATTTATATTAAGTTTAATATGAATGTAAAAATACAATTCAAACAAATTGAATACAAATTAAGTTTAATAAAAACTTAACACAAATAAATTAGTTTAATATAAATGCAAATTAATTAAGAAACAAAATTCTGATGCAAAAGCAGAAGAATAATTCAAACGATTTCATTCAAAATTTGAATATTTTCCAGAAGTTTCTGTTTTGATGATTTTCGCCATTTCTTCAAATATTAAATAGGAAATTACCAGCAATCATTGCCTTCATTCCTGTTATTTTCTCATTATTTGCGGTTGATTTTTCAATTTAATTTTTAAATTATTTGGAAATGTTAAATGCCCAAAGTGATCACAAAAATTTGCATAAGTTTACCGTAAATTCCTTACATCTCAGTTATTTGCATTGAACTTTACTTAGACTGAATTGTGCTCATTCATTGTCAACGAATATTACTGTTTGATTCAGTGACAGGAATGAGTCAACGATTAGTTAGTATGAGTCAGCAGCTAGTATGGTATTTTGTCGTTCATTTTGCTGGACAATGTCGCTAATATAGGTCGCCAATATAGGAAGGATATTGTTGTTTGGTTCGCTTTCCACTTTTGTCGTGAAAGCATCAGGAAGCAAATAGCAAAAATTATAAATAATTTTAGGATAGTATTTGAGAGTAGTAATATGGGGAAGTGTAATTTCGAGATTAACAACAGTCGAGACTGTCCGAAGGTCACAAAAGTGGAAAAATCGATTTCCCTTCCTGATATTCATGAACACAAAAGGGTCGCAGTAACTCTCAGTGAAGGTTAATCTACAATTTTGTTTTTTTTTTTTGTCTTTAATTAAAATGTGAATGCTAATAAGTTTCATAATCCTTTCTAAAATATCGCTTCATTTGTTGAAAAATTTAGGTTCGCTATCATTTCCTCATCGCCTTATTTACGAAGATACCATTGGAGTTTTGGATGAAAACAAACGACTTAAAGCGGAATTATTTAACATAAAGTTACAATTGCTTTCGGTGAAAAAAAAATTTCCGCCAATGTTTGATAAGGAAGGCAATAACATAACTGAAAAAGTTAATTATTATTAATTTTTCATCTCCTACTCTTAATTTCTTTGCTATTTGAATGGAATGAAGCTTATGACTTATAAAAGTGATTATGAAAGCTATTGATAATATCAAAGTCTTATCATTTACCTTTCATAATATCCTCTCTTTTAGTATGTAGCAACACTAATCGAATTGAACAATGAGAAGATTCGACGACTAAAATTGGAGAAATTATGCCAATCAAAAGAGAAAAAACTCAATGAACAGCGATTACAGCTTGGATGTGAAAAGAATGTTCGCGAGAAGGAACGTCAGAAGCTTCTTATGAAGATGAAAGGACTTGAAATTAAATTAAAAGAGATTAATAAGCAGTTGAATGAAGATGATGGTGATAGTGAGTGATATCTAACTGATATCAGAGATTATATGATAAAATATGATTGCAATTTATTATATGATAAAAAATGAAACTAATTGCATTAAATGGCAACGAAAATAAGTTTTATTAAATTGAAAATTTTATGTTAAAATCTAGAAAAAATTATATATTAAAATCAAATTGAATATATATACATTAAATTTTATACTGGAAACAAACGAAAAAATATTTTCTTTTTTTATTTCTTTAAAAACCATTGATTTTTTTTTTTCGCAAATCATTTTTTATTTAATACTCAGCCATTCTGTTTTTTTTTTTTTTTTTTAATGAAATAGAAACTTTTCTCAAAAAAAAAAAATTTCAAATGAAATAAGTAAAAAGGAAAAAACAAATTTTTAAAAAATGACACGCATGCACTGATAAAGCATGTTGAATTATCATTTTTTGTAATTTTTTTAATTTCAGCAATTTCGTTCATAATAAATAAAAATAGAAAGCGGAAAAATGGTTAATTAAAGGTGAAAGGATTGAACATATATTCGAAAAAGCGTAAGGGACTTTGGTTTATTATTTACGAGAAATATGTGTAAATGTATTATTGCACGGTAATTTTATTAAATTTACACTAATATAAATAATTATTAATTTTAATAAATTTTGAAAATTTCGAAGCAAATATAATTTTTTGTTCATTTTTTACAAGAAGATTGTATCGAAATGTTAAATTTTGTTGAAATCTTTCATTTTCTTCTTCCGCAAAACATTTTTGGAATTTCAAAAATTTCAAAAAGACATTCTTAACAATTGGAATGAAATGACACGTTGAAGTTCATGTAAGCATCAGTACACGGAATAATATGTCAGGTCAACAAAACAAAGGTCACAAGCAATTGACCTAGAGATGACATTCAGCGCTGGGAAAGAACGATTCTTCAGAGGATTTTAAAGGAATCAAACCAAAAGAGAAATTTAATATGTTTAGACGAATTCGATTCGATATATTCCTTAATTCAACAGTTCATCCGATGTGACACTTCCACCAGAGGATTGATTGTGCAGCGAAAATGCGACAATTTAGTGAGAAGTTGACATTCTTTCATATTTAATGCTTCGTCATTCCTTCTTATTAAGCACTAAACTAATGAGATTAATTTATACTTACATTTCCTTTTAAACAAAGCTCAGTTAAAGTGGAGTGCTAATAAAGTTGAGAAGTTATAACAGTAAAAATACCAATGAAACTTTTATCGCCAGCAATTGAATTGGTGAGAATACCATGCAGGTTGCCTTTCGGTATTCATAAATGGAGAAGGTCACGGGTCATGGTTAATTTATAGTTTTTCTTTTAATTAGAGTAGAATGCTAATAAACCTGAGAAATGTTAATTCAAATTCAATTCATTTTTATCCAACAAATGACCTCTACGTAAAATTTTATTTTGCTATCATTTTTAGAAATAATAATAATAGATTCTATAAAAAATGTAAACATTGTAATGACAATAAGTGATAAAATGATAAATTGTTTACATTGTTTTAGCATTTCCAATTTATTTTCATTTCTAAAATGAATTCTGTTCGTTAATATATCCATCAGACATAAACTTTTAGATTTATGCAAATAATATTTTTGATAATAACAGCAATAGATTTTTGTAAAAAAATAATTATCAAAATTGTAGTGAGAAATGTATATAAAATAATCAATTAAATTGATTGAAAATGTCTATTGTTTTTAATGTTTTTAAAATAGTTTTAACACTTAATTAAAATTAAATTTGATAATCTTTGAACTTTTTTACTTGTTCAACATACAAAGATTCTTACGATTTGTAAAATTTCCATAAAAAACAAAATTTTAATTTGATTTAAAAATTAATTTTGTTTGTAAAAATGAATTAAATCCATGACTATTTAAAAATTTTATTAATTTTACTACTGAATTATTGTTCACAACTTTAATAATCAAGTTTTTTAAAGTTTATTTTATTATTATTACCGTGAAATGACCAAACCGTACATGACCAACACCCAAGAAATGCCTATAAAATAATCAATTAAGTTAAAAATATTTACTTTTTTGATGAACTGATATTTTTCAAAAGTTTTAACACTTAATTAAAATAAAATTTGATATTATTAAAACTTATTTCCCAATTTAATATACAAGCTTTTTTTTGTATTTATAACAAATTTAATTTGAGAAAATTAATACAATGTTATACTTCATTCAAAAAATTTAACCTATTAGATTAAAATTAATAAATATTTAAACATTTTAATAAAAATATTTAGCAAATAACTTGCTAGTTAATTAATTAATAAGTTTGCTTAATTGAATGTATAATTAAATACAACTAAAATTTTCTTTGTAATGTAATACGTATTAAGTAATTTATGCAAAATCGAATTTTTATTTTTATTTTTTTTTTTTAAAAAGGTAAATTTATTCTACTATTAAAAATTAATAAATCTAGTAGAAAGAGAAGAAATAAACCACTGTTTACATTCTTTTATCACTCGTAATCGTAAAGCTACCATCAGATATTAGTAAACCATTATGATAACTGTGCTTATCGTTGATAATGTTTATACATTGATAAAGATATCGTTGATTGATAAAGTTATTTCAAATAATGAAGGTTTACAAACTGATAAAATTATCATTGATAATTTAGACTTTTCTTACGGAAAAAAAAATTATTGTTCATAAATGTGAAATATGCGAAACAAACTGTTCAATGATCTCTTTAAATATTTAATTTACAAATTGACAATTTATAAAATTTTCATATCAATTATTAAAGTTATAATTTTTTAGTTCGTAATTATTTCCATCATCATTTTTTTTTCCTATTTATTACTGTGTTAATTTTTTATTTTGTTATTTATCACTCAAAAATGTTCATATTATCGGATTTTCTTTTGTTGAACTTTCTTCCTGTCTTGATGTTGCATGAGAATCCGTTTCCGCTTTAACAGTTACTAATTCATCTTTCTGATTTCTTTCCGATTTTCCAGAACTTGGAATTTTTGAGCTTTCCATTGATCTAGAAATTACTTTATTCTTTTCTTCATTTCAAATGACATATATTATCTATTTTTTCCTCTTCTTATGACAATCTTATTCGATTTTCAGAATAAATACTTATTTACTTATATACTCAATGGTTTTACTTAAATAATTTCAATTAAAGGAAAGAAAAACAACAATGGAAAAGCAATACTTCTGTGCTTGTGCTTCATCTACTTCTTTCGGTATTTCCAGTTGTGTTTTCTCACTTTTTACACTTGTATCTATTGTTGCTATTTGTGTTTTGCACAATTCTAAGTTCTAAATTATTTAATTAGATGTAAAATGAAATTGTAATTTAAAAGCTAATTTAAGTTCTAATTATTATTTTCACGTAAATTCAGTGCAAAATCAAAGAAGAGACGATGAAGAAATAAAAACAAAAAAAAGAAAAGTATTTGGTTTTGTTATTTAAAGTATAAATTGCTTCAGTAAATTAATTTATGGTTGTAGCTTCATTTTTTTTTTAAGTTTTACTTTTTTTTTATAGTTTTATTTTTTAGTTTTTTTTTTATTTATAGTATTGTTTATAATACTTCACAATGTGCTTTAAAATATTTAATTATATATAAATGTTATATGTGAAATGAAATTGTATTTTTATGCTAATTTCAATATTATTCAAGAGTGGTAATGATCTCAAGAAAACAATTTGCTAATTCATTCATTACTTTTACACTTTTTACTCTATGATAATATTTATCATATAGCAGTTGTTTTTTCTTTTTCTTAGCAATTATAATTTGTAAACATTGAAATGAATTAAATTTAAATTTATTAATAAGATTTAAAAAGTATTTTGCTACCTGATTATCAGCTGCTGTTTCTTTCTCAACTAAAAATATCAATTATATTAATTAATAGTTCGGTTTTATGACTTTTGTTTTTTGTTTCATCAAAATTCTTTTATATTTAAAATGAGAAATAAAATGTAATTTTAGAAGCATAAAATATGCAAATAAACTTTTGAAATAACTTACTTTTGCTTGTATGAGATTTGTTTAGTTGGTTATTTTCACGTTCAAATTCAATTAATAATGTTTTTTCAACATTTGGTTTCTTAAATAAATTTAAAAAAAAAAAGACGAAAACTGATTAACTGTTATATAATGCATAATTATAAATGAAATTTTTAAAATTTTTATCTTTTTTCACTTCTTTGCCTTTTATATTCTATAAATTTAATATTTAAGCATTAAAAAAAGTTTAGAATATCAATTTGCAATAATTTTTTTTCAGCTATTTTGTTTTCTTTTTCTTTAAAAGAAATAAATTTTAAACAAATAAAATAAAATACATCTGGTGATGGCTTGCCGTCATGCTTTTCCACTAGTATTTTTGGAAAACTTTGTTGCTGCTTACTCTGTAATTATCACCAATTTTTGTTGTTTGATAAAATTTTACAAAATTATTTATTATTTTTTTTTTTTTTTTATACCTCTCTCAATTTGTTAAAATAGATGAAAGCAATAAATTTTCAACTATTTTGATTTAATCTTACAAAAAGCAATTAGTAAAAATATGCAAAATGTAGGAATGTTAAAATTTTCACAATTCTTTTTTTTTTGAAATTTTAAACGTTTCAGATTTCATATAAATTATCATTATTATTGTTACCATTGTTTTTACTATCATTGTTATCATAATTATTTTATTAGTTGTTGTCATTGTTATTGTTAATAAATTTACCAATATTGTTATTATTATTATTATCATAATTATAGTATTAGTTGTTGTTTTCGTCATTGTTATTTATTATTTTTGTTATTATTGTTGATATTGTTAATAAAAATTAGATAAGCTTTTATATTCCATATCAATTCTTAGTTAATCACCACCACCTATCACCTCTATCCCGGCTACCTGATTATCCTAAATTTTTTATTGCATTATTTTTCGACTGAAAATATTTCATAAAACGGTAAAACTTACATCATTTTTTGTATCAACTGAAAAAATAAATCATTAATTATATTTAATAATTTAAAAAAAAAAAAAGAAACGAAAAAGGAAAATAATTCGTAAAATTAAAATAAAACATCAAGATTTACAATTAACACTTGCAGCTTCTGTAAAATAATTATTATTAAAAATCAGCGACTAAAAGAGATTTATAACATTATTAATTTCTAAGAAAGTGAAATTATATTTAAAATAATTAGATAGTGAAAAATCTTATTAAATTATTATATCATATAAAAAAATTAAAAATTAAACCAAAAGTTTAAAATTTGCTATTTAACAACATTTCAAAATAAACTGGTTAACAGAACACTAAATTCTGTAGGAATGCAATTTTTCGATCATTCTAAAAACTTATAGTTAAACAAACTTTAATTTATATATAAAATGCAATTAATTTATTTTTGTCTTTATTTCATAAAATCTCTTAAATAATTAATAATTTTTATGATATTGTTGAAGTCTTTAAAATTATCAAATTATTAGTTATAGTTAAGGATTTAGTATTTCTTGTTTTATATTTTTTTATCATTTCCAAATGATAATAATAATAATTGGCTTAAAAAAAAAATTGTGATTCTATTTATTGCTAAAGAATTTAGGCATAAAGTTGAATAAATATAACTTTCATTTATTTATTAAAAAATTTTTAGAAAGTATTAAAAAAAAAGTATTAAGAAATTTTTATTTATTAAAAAATTTTTTAGAAGAGAGAAGAGTAAACAAATAGAGAGAGAGAGAGAGGGAGAGAGAAAAAAAAATAACAAACTAGTTGTTCCAAGCACAATGCTTTCCTGTGGTTTTGGTTTATTTTTCGTTTTCTTCATACATGTTGCAATTGAAGCAAAAATGAGTAAACATGCAAATAGCGCTTCCTAAAATTTTGCATTTTTTTTTTTTTTTTGATGATTTTTAAAATTTCCTCTAATTTCATTTCAAAATATTTCAAATTGAATAACTGATAAAAAAAAAAAAGAAATTCTTATTGAAATGATAACGAATATTTCATGCTATATCCGGTCTGATCAATTTTATTTCACAGTTTATTTCAAAAGATCAATCGATCAATCATCCCTAATTTTAATTTTTTTTTATAAATCTTGAGAATCCTAAGCTATACTACAAGCACTGATAGCATTTGGAAGAACAATTGGACGTTCACAATTTTTTAGATTTTTTTAAACTTTGTTAGAAAATTTAGGCAAAAAAAAAAAGTAGAAATGATGAGAAAATGAACTGACAAATAATGATGAATGCAATTTTAATTAAATGATTTCAAATTTTAATATTTGTTAAGTTTAAAATATATCTTTAATAAAAAACCTTATAGCTTCAAATATAATTTCAGTCAATGATTTCAACCAGTGATTTTCTATTTCTCGGATCAGTTAACTAATTTTTGTTACCTTATTTTAGTTTTTTTCATTTTACGTCAGGATGAAATGCATTATAATATCAAATGAAAAATGAAAATAATTTTAAAATGTTAAATTTCATTTTCAATAATGAATTTTATTTTCATTTTGCATATATCAGATTTGTAAATTGTTGAGGTCTTCAATTCTTGCTTTTTTTTCATGAAATTTTTAAGGCATATATGAATTAAGAAGCAGGGAAGTCTTTTTGTGTACAAATTGAAATGTTTAGAGTAAACAATGATTGCATAAAAAAGTTTATACGTAATTCTGAAATTTTTTATGCTTAATTCCCGAAGAGAATGAAAAATTTCTTACGTAAATTGTGATATTTGATGGAAACAATAAATAAAATTCAACGAGCATTGTAAATAAAGACGAACTAAGCCGTCTCTCAAACAATTTATACTGAAAAATGACCGAAAATGCTTGAAATATTTTTTTTTATGTTTCCATAAATAAAAAAAAATTTCATATGCAAATTTTCATTTTAAATAAATTTAGAAATTTTTTTTTTTTAAATTTCAAATAAATGCAATATTTTTTTACGGAATCATTTTAGCGGTTAACCGAATTCGATTCACAAATTTGAAGTGTATGTGTGTGTGTGTGTGTGTGTGTGTGTGTGTGTGTGTGTGTGTGTGTGTGTGTGTGTGTGTGTGTGTTGTGTGTGTTGTGTGTGTTTGTGTGTGTGTGTGTGTGTGTGTGTGTGTGTGTGTGTGTGTGTGTGTGTGTGTGTGTGTGTGTGTGTGTGTGTGTGTGTGTGTGTGTGTGTGTGTGTGTGTGTGTGTGTGTGTGTGTGTGTGTGTGTGTGTGTGTGTGTGTGTGTGTGTGTGTGTGTGTGTGTGTGTGTGTGTGTGTGTGTGCATCATCGAAAATCCGCAAATATAAACATTTAATACTGATAGCATTTTGACCAAAAATATTTGAAATGAAATATAAAAATCTTATTGAAAACCTTATTAATTTTTTTTTTTTTATTTTCTTTAGTGTAAATTTTGCGTTTATTTCATTTCTACACTTTTACAATAAAATAATCAAATTTTGAAAAAAATCATTCAATCATTCATGAAAATGACGAGTGAATTTGCTTATTGCTCATATTGTTTATTTCTTCGTCGCATTAAACGCATTGCAGTAATACTGTAATAATGTTATTTGATTATTTCCAATGAAACCATAATCTTTTTTTTTTTTTCTATCCTTAATTTCTAATAAAATTATCTTATGGCAAAAAAGCATAGAACAAAACTTTTTTTGTCTTTTATCAATTTAAGCGCTAATAAATAAATAATGGTAAACAATAAATGCAAATAAATTAATGATTGTTGTTTTCTTAGTAATGCATTCTCCTTCAGCAGAAAGATTTTTTTTTTAATCAAATATGATTTTTATACCAATTAAATTGATTTTTATACCAATTAAATTGATTTTTTTATACCAAAATTTATACTAATTAAATTGAAACTGATTAAAATTTGTAAAATTTGCTTAATTTTAACACTTATTTAGAAAAAAAAAAAATTCTATCTGGTTATTTGCATTTTTTGCAAGATTTAGCGCAGGATCTCACTGCATAATGCGGAAATCGAAAGCAATCACCGTATAGCATCACCTGACTGCAATCTTTCCATTTATCTTCACATTCTTAAAATTTCATTTTTTTATCAATATTTTCTATCATTTCTCAGTAATAAATAATAAATGCATAATGTAATTTAGAATGACTTTGATTTAATCCATTTTAATAATATATTTTGACTTATTTGCATATTCATCCCAAATCTATAATCAAATTTTATTTATTTTTAATTAATTCTATAATAAAGCAAATCATTGATATTACTACAGCATATTGTAATTTCGTCGAAAATTAACAAATTATCACATAAAACACAAATTATTGAACGAAATTATTTTTATATGATAGAAAATTTTTACTTCCATTAGTTTCGGTCTCAGTGATGATTTTATCATTAGCATCGGTTTCTTTTTCTCCAAAAATGAAACCAATACAAATAAAAATGATAGTACACGTTAATAGATTCATTTGAAATAAGTTCTATCTGAAATGGTAACACTAAAATATAATCAAGATTGAAAATTTTTGTGGATATGAATGAATAATTTTTATGAGTATTATTTAAAACTCATATAGATATATACTAATTGGTGGGTGGATGTTATGTTGCTGTCAAAAGTTTGAAAGATTTAAATAATTTGTGGGGAGATGGGAAGCTGAATTTTACTTCCCTGATAATGAAATAGTTGTGTCAACATAATGATGTCAATTTGTGATAAAATTTGTATGGCGAAATATACTTTTTCACTTGTAAAATTAATACGGATAATAAAATTGTTTAAAAAAAAAAAAAAAATGATGAAATGAAATTGAAAGTTTGAACTGCCATTATTTATTAGTTGAAATTGATGTTTGTAAAGGTAACATGAAAATGCATTATAGACTTGAGATTTGATTTTGGTTTTATTTTTTATTTAAAAAAGCTGATGTGAATAATTGTCTACTAATTTCAAATGAATCATGCACTGCTTTCCTAAATTATAAAAAAAATTCCACGTATTTATTTTATAAAATTTAAATCGTAAGGATTTTTTTTTTTTTAATTTGCAAGAAATTTAAATTACATTTGGAAAAAAGTACATCTGATTTTAGGCATTTAAGAATTAAATATTTTCAAAAAATAGTTGTTGTTTATAATTTATAACAGAAGATTACTGATAAATTGTGATAATCGTTGGGGGAACAAAATAACTTGTTGGTCACAAATTTCATTTCTCATCCGATTCAATTTGTTCGTTTTTTCCTTCCAATCAATTCGAGAGATGTAAAATTGGGGCAAAAACATAGTTTGAATCCATCTACAGATATCAGACAGGTTTCCATTCAGGAATTCCGCTATTGAAATATAAAAAGTATTGTCTTTAGTCCAGCCATTCTATATTTTTTCTTCAAAATTAAAAAAAAAATACTTTTAAGTATTACTTTTATCAGTGATAATTTCAATGCTAAATCATACTCAGAGTAATGTACTATTCAAGAATAAATTTACTTCTTTTTGTAATCATAATGAATTATGGGAAAAAATTTGTTAAATTAACAAATGGAATGCTTGATAGAGTGACAGTTAACTTGAACAATTAATTGTTTATTATTTAAATTCTTTTTTAATTACTGTTGTTTCATGCATACTGCAAACACTAGCGGACTAACATAACAGCTTGATTATATGCAAAAGGAATAATAGTGTAGAGAAATGATCTTTGTATAGTGTCAAAATCGAGAATGAATGAAATTTAAAAAACAAATCATCATTTAAGCCTTCTGTTGAGCATTTCATAAAAACGATAAGATCGTTTTGGATTGGATTTTGCCAAAATAATCTCGTAGTTGATCAATCAAATATATTAATAAATTGAAGTCTGCACTTTAGCAAATATCAAAATTGCAATAAAAATGGCAAGATTAATAGTGTATCTTGCTTTCATCATCTTTTGCGCTAATCGACAACAAAATGCGGCAGTAGGACCAGGAGGAGTAGGTATGCACCTCTTTTCGACTAAAATGAAAATCTCGAAATATATATATCTCGTATTCTACATCATTTTAACCACTTTAGTTAGATTTCTAATAAAACAGGCTGGGTTCGATTTCAATATGAATATCACTGATATTCACTTTTGCAGTGAAAATAGTATATCATTTAAAATCTCAAAGGTTTCTACTTATAATCAAATAATCGCTAACATCAATTTCAGCCGCTGAAGTTGTCACAAATTATAGAGCTGACAAGTTATGGGATGATGATTTATTAATGGAGACAATGCAAGTAGAAGAATGTATGTTCATCTCATCAAGAATTAATTTAGGCGTCATTAAATTTTGAATGATTTCAAGGAGATTTAATTTGATAATTCCTTTCAGTTCCATTTGCTGGCTTCTTTTTATTAAGAAATGAATGAATTTGAATAATTATTTTAATACAATGATTGCAGCAACACTGACGAATTGTGACACAATGAAAGATGGAAGATTATTTGTTTTGGAAGAAAAACCGTTGTTATTGATGACAAATACTGTTAACTTGATGAAATGGAATTAGGAAAATGTAAATGTGCAATGTGCAAGTGATTAAATTGATTTTTATACCAAAATTTATACTAATTAAATTGAAACTGATTAAAATTTATAAAATTTGCTTAATTTTAACACTTATTTAGAAAAAAAAAAAATTCTATCTGGTTATTTGCATTTTTTGCAAGATTTAGCGCAGAATCTCACTGCATAATGCGGAAATCGAAAGCAATCACCGTATAGCATCACCTGACTGCAATCTTTCCATTTATCTTTGCATTCTAAAAAAATCATTTTCTTTTTGTTAATATTTTCAAAATTTTCTTTTTATGAATTCACTTATTATTTTTTTTTATTTTTTACACTTATTGTTTTTTTTTATATTTACAACGAACAATTTAGAAAATTTTTGATTTTAATCTATTCCAATGCTATATTTTGTCTTATTTGCATATTCATTTCAAAATTTATTCTAATTCTATTTGATCTTAATTTATTTAAAATTCAAATAAAAATACATCACCATAATTCTTTTTACTGTTTTTTTTTTTTTTTTTTTTTTTTTTTTGTATACAAATTAGTAAATGATACTATTATCACATTATAAAAAATTTTTACTTTGTTTGGGTGTAGGTTTTTTTTTTTTGTTGGGATATTTACGGCTAGTGAGTCCTTTGATTCCTTTTTTGTGGGTTTCTTTTTTTCCAAAAATCAAACCAATACAAATGAAAATGATAACATACGTGGAGAGATTCATCTGAAATAAGTTCTATCTGAAATGAAAACATTAAAATAAAATAAAAAATTTCGTTGATATGAAAAGTAATTTTTATAACTATTATTTAAAACTCATAGAAATATATACTAATTGGTGAGCAGTACAAATGATAAGCAGCACTTTTTGTAAATTATTGTAACATAGCAAATTTCATTTGAAATGTTATGCTGCCGTTTAGAAGTTTGAAAACTTTTAAATAATTCTGAACTGTACTTCATTGGTGATAAAATAGTTGTGTAAACATAATAATATCAATATGTTATAAAATGTTTTTCAATTGTAAAATTGATACGAATAAAAAAATTGTTTAAAAAAAAAATGATAGAATAAAATTGAAGATTGAAATACCCATTGTTTATTAGTTGAAATGAATAAATGTTTGTAAAAGCAGCATGAATATTATCCGAAATACAATAATTTTAATCTGATATTATAAACATTGGTTTTTATTTTGATTCATTTGTTTCTTTATTTCATTTTAGAAAACATTGATGTATTATTTAAGTATTATCACATGAATTATTGATGTTAGTTTGCTTTTATAATTAACAAAAAATAAAATAAAATAAATTCCACATGTTCTAATCATAATATTTATATTGCATGGATTTCAGAAAAAAATGAATTTAGGCATTTAAAAGTTAAACATTTTTCAAAGATAATCGTTATATATAATTTATAATAAATTGTGACAATTGCTGAAGAGAGAATAAAATAACTTAAAATCAAGTTTTTTTTCTGATAAAAACCTGATGATTAAAAATCCATCCTTTTCATTATTTATCCAATTTAATCTATCCTTTGTTTTTCTTCAACTGAATTCGAGAAATATGAAAATCACAGCAAAAACATAAGTAGTTTGAATGCATCTAACAGATATCAGACAGGTTCTATTCAGGAATTCCGCTTTTGAAGTATAAAAAGTGCTGTTTTTAGGTCTTCAACCACTAGTTGGTTCCACTATTCCCCACTTTTTTTCAATATTTAATAAAATAGTTTTAGATATTATTTCTATCAGTGAAAATTCCCTGTGTTAAATAATGCTCGGAGCGAGATCAAATTTAAAATCAATTTGTTGTATTAATAATCCTTTGTTTTACTTCAAATTTACTGTATAAATAAAAATGAGCTATGAGGATAAATTGTTAATAATAACAAGGGCAACGCTTGATATTGTGATAGTTAATCTGAAAAATTAATCAACTCTTTTTTGATTACTATCTTTCTGAATGCATGTAAATGCATTCATGCATGCTGCAAGTATTAGCAAACTAATACAGTAACTGCATTCTACATAAATTCATGATAGTGTATAATCGCTACTGAATCATTTCAAGCCTTCCGTACAACGACAAAATCAAGAATGATATTAAAACTGAAAGATAAATCATCAATTAAGTCTTTTGTTGAACATTTCATAAAACAACTAAAACCTTTCGATTGCGCCGAAATAATATCATAGTTTGATCAATAAAGTGAGGTCTACCCTTTAGGAAATATTGAAATTGCAGTAAAACTAACTTCAAAAATGGCAAAATTGATAGTGTATCTTGCTTTCATCATTTGTTGTAATCGACAGCAAAACGGAGCAGTAGTACAAGGAGGAGTAGGTATGCATCTCTCTTTAAGTAAAATGAAAATCTCGACATTTACACTGCATTCTAAATTATTTTAACCACTTTAGCCTGATTTCTGATAAAACAAGTAGCGTTAGATTTAATTCGATTATCACTGATATTCATTTTTGCAATGAAAACAGCACATCATTTTTTTTTTTTAAATCTCAAAGGTTTTGCTTGTTTTGTAAGCTTAATCAAATAATCCATGGTGCCAATTTCAGTCGCTGATGTTATCACAGATTATAAAGCTGACAAGTTATGGGCTGATGACTTATTAATGAAGACAATACAAGTGGAGGAATGTATGTCCATTTCATGAAGAAATACTTAGGCATTATTTAATTTTGAGTGTTAATTTTTAGTTCCATTCGTCGGCTTCTTTTTATTAAGATAGGAATGAATTTAAATAATTAATTATTTCAATAAAATGATTGCAGCAACACTGACGAATTGTGACAAAATGGAAAATGGAAGATTATTTGTTATGGAAGAAAAACCGTTGTTATTGATGACAAATACTGTTAACTTGATGAAATGGAATTAGGAAACTGTAAAAGATTGATGGTCATGTTTTAAAAAAAAATGGAAAATTAAAAGAGAGGAAAACACGAGAACTCATAAAATTGGAAGATTTGAAATTTTATTTTGCAGCGGAAATTCGGAATTTTTATGCACAATGTGGATTATGATTTTTTCAGTTGTTATCCAATTATTGTCAAGAAAGCTATTAAAGAGTACGTATGTGTTCTTATTGTTGTAGTAAATGCAAAATGTCAGTAACAGCTTTATTGTTCTTTTACAATATCGTATTTGTACAAGAATAGGGAAGAAATTAATAATTTAAATATAGAATTATACCAATAGTCCATCAAAGTTTGTGCTAAATTGTCGTACTTTCGTATTGCACTTATTGCTACTACTACGCCATTCATTGCCTTTTGAACTGAGTGCGCAAAAGTCAATTGAATCAAATCGAATCGGACCTAAAAATACTCTGAGAAATGATCTAAACTTTTCATCTAGTGGACATCAACAAAGCGCGTGACAGTGGGTCAAAAGCAGATGAATGATGACCTTTACTCTTTACATAGTACAAGTTCGTTTTTAACATTGCATATAAAGTCAGTAAACTTTGGATTTGATTTTGACTTATTTTTTTCTTCGTCTTAGAAAACACTGATGCATTGTTTGAAATTATTGATGTTAAATTGCTTTTGTTATTAACAAAAAATATAATAAAAAAAATTCCACATGTTTAAATTTTAAATCTAAATTGCAAATATTTCAAAGCAAAAAGAAAATTTGAATTTAGGCATTTAAAAGTTAAACATTTTTCAAAGATAATCGTTATATATAATTTATAATAAATTGTGACAATTGCTGAAGAGAGAATAAAATAACTTAAAATCAAGTTTTTTTTCTGATAAAAACCTGATGATTAAAAATCCATCCTTTTCATTATTTATCCAATTTAATCTATCCTTTGTTTTTCTTCCACTGAATTCGAGAAATATGAAAATCACAGCAAAAACATAGGTAGTTTGAATGCATCTAACAGATATCAGACAGGTTCTATTCAGGAATTCCGCTTTTGAAGTATAAAAAGTGCTGTTTTTAGGTCTTCAACCATTAGTTGATTCCACTATTCCCCACTTTTTTTCAATATTTAATAAAATAGTTTTAGATATTATTTCTATCAGTGAAAATTCCCTGTGTTAAATAATGCTCGGAGCGAGATCAAATTTAAAATCAATTTGTTGTATTAATAATCCTTTGTTTTACTTCAACCTACTGCATTAGTATTAAAAATGAGTTATGAAAATGAATTTCTTAAATCAATAGCAAGCTTAATGCATGATGTGGTGACAGTTAACTTGAACTTTTAATTGTTGAATATTCGAATTGTTTTTTGGTTACTCTGAAATGCATTTGAGCTGTTTCATGCATGCTGTAAACATTAGCAGGCTAATACAGTAACTGTATTATATGTAAAAGAATGATAGCATAAACCGTATAGTGATAAAATTACGAATGATATGGTAATTGAAAGATAAATCCTCCATTAAGACTTCAGCTCAGCTTTTCGTAAAACCAGTTAAAACGTTTGAGATCCGATGTGTTATAATAATAGTACTGCTGAAATTAAAATATATGAATGAAGCAAAATCTATATATCAGGATATATTGAAGTTGCAATAAATTTAATTTCAAATATGTCAAAATGGATACTGTATATTGTTTTCATCATTTATTGTGCTAATCAGGCACAAAACGCAGGAGGAGGAGGAGGAGGAGGAGGACCAGCAGGTGCAGCAGGAGTAGGTATGCATCACTTTATAAGTAAAATGAAAATCTCGATACAAATATATCTTGTATTCTACATCATATTAACCACTTTAGTTAGACTTCTGATAAAACACGCTCGGTTCGATTTCAATTTGAATATCACTGATATTCACTTTTGCAGTGAAAAGAGTATATCATTTAAAATCTCAAAGGTTTCTACTTATAATCAAATAATGCTAACATCAATTTCAGCCGCTGAAGTTGTCACAAATTATAGAGCTGACAAGTTATGGGATGATGACTTATTAATGGAGACAATGCAAGTAGAAGAATGTATGTTCATTTTATAAGGAATTAACTTAGGCATTATTTAATTTGGAGTGATTTCAAGATGATTTAAGATGAATTTGACAATTCCTTTTAGTTCGATTCGTAGACTTCTTTTTATTGAGGAAACTATGAATTTAAATAATTAAAAAAATTATTTAATAACTAAGAAATAATTTAAAAAAGAGAAAATCTCTATACAACGATTGCAGCAACATTGACGAATTGTGACACAATGGAAAATGGAAGATTATTTATTTTGAAAGAAAAACCGCTGTTATTGATGGCAGATACTGTTAACTTGATGAAATGGAATTAGGAAACTGTAAATGTGCAATGTGCAAGTGATTAAATATTGATTGAAGGTCACATTTAAATATATTGAGAAGATCAGGCTGTTAATAAAAGAAATCGGAAAAAAAATCAGACGAAAAGGAAAAAAAAGCTAAAAATAATGAAATTGAAAGATTTAATAAAATTGCGATTTATCATACATATTGTGCAGAATTTGTTTTTGTAGAGAAAGTTAAGATTTAAAATTTATTCTACTATGTTTTCTTGTTTAAAGAAAAATTTAAACTAAACTATTAACCTTCCATTGGAAAAATTATATAAAGATTACTATTTTGTGAAAAAAACTTCAAAAAAGCAATAGGTGATATCGGCAGTAATACGGCTGTATAGCTATCTGTAAACTGTTCATTAATTGTAATTATCAATATTTTTCTATAAATTATAATTAATAAGGTAGTCATCGTAGATGAAATCAAAAATTAACAACAATAATTAATAATTAATGAAAATCGTTAATAAATTAATTAACAAAAAACTTGACCAGAGGAACAAAAATGAAAATAAATAATGACTTCCTGTGTTTTTGTCGGATTTAAGTAATGAAAACAAATTTGCTCAATATTTATCACTTAATTTGACTCATTTATTGATTTCAACAACTAAGAACAAAGAAGATTAAACTATAATACAATAAGTGTCAAATTAATGCTGTAATTTATTAATTGATCAGTTTTAATGATGATTTTAGCCCATATTCCATAACGAAATTAATAGATTTCAAATTTCCGGTGGAATTATAAAAATCTTGTAATATTGGAATGAGAATAGCTCAGAATTCGTTTTCAAATTTTCAATTGAAGATATTTCAGAGAAGAAAGTTTGATTTTGGATATTTTTTAAATTAAATATTTAGAGCAAATAGTTATTTTTGTTCAATTTATGATAAAAGATTGCTGATAAATTGTAATCGCTGGAGAACAAAACAATTTAATGGTTAGAAGTTCGTTTTTCCTTTTTTTCCGGTCATATTCAGTCCTTCATTCTTCTTTCTTCTATTCAAAAGGGAGTGACACCTGCAATATTAAACTGGTTATGCACAGGATCGCAAAGTATAAAAAGCGCAGTTTGTAAATCTTCAATTATCAATTAGTTCGTACTTCATTTTTTTTCAAACTTTATGAAGCTACTCGTGGATACTGTATCTATCATTAAGTATTTTGTTCGCTAAATCTTGATCTCTCCTGACATAAATAAAGAATTATTTGGCATTTAAAAACAAATTCACTGTATTAGAATGAGCTATGAAATTGAAATCCGCTAGTAGTCACTGAAGTAACTTTCCGAATAGCAATTCCCTTAGCTTTATGTTAAATTGCCATTGTAATGCAGTAAATTTATTCATGCTAAAATTGTTGAAATGAATGAAATTTTAAAATAAAATCATTCATTCGATGATCAAAAGCGATTCAGATCAGATCGTATTGAAATAATATCGTAGTTAATCGATAAAAAGTATTAATAAGGTGGAATCTGCACTTTAGCAAATATCAAAGTTGCGACAAAACTACGAAAATGGCAAAGTTGATAGTGTATCTTGCTTTCATTATATATTGTGGCAGAGCTGCTAATCAGCAACAAAACGCGCAAGGAATGAGAATAGGAATAGGTATGAATCTCTTTTTAAGTAAAGTGAAAATCTTTATAACTCGTATATTACATCATTTGAACCGCTTTATCCAAGATTCTTGATAAAACAGGAAAGTGATTTTAATTCGGATGCCACCTGTCATTTTCAAGTCGGAAAAGTTCCTGTTTTTTCTGTAATTTTAAACAAATAATTCATGGCATCAATTTCAGTCGCTGATGTTATCACAGATTATAAAGCTGAAAAGTTGTGTGATGATGAGTTACTAATGGCGACAAAACAAGTAGAGGAATGTATGTTCATTTCACAAAAAATTAATTTAGACATTATTTGATTTTGAATGATTTCAAGAAGATTTAATTTAATAAATCCTTTTAGTTCCATTCATCGGCTTCTTTTTATTAAGAAAGGAATGAATTTGAATAATTATTTCAATACAATGATTGCAGCAATAATGACGAATTGTGACACAATGAAAGATGGAAGATTATTTATTTTGGAAGAAAAACCGCTGCTATTGATGACAAACACTGTTAATCTGATAAATTGAAATTAGGAGAATGTAAATATGCAAGTGATTGACGGTCATATTTCAATAAATTGAAAACATCGAGTTGTTAATAAAGAAAATGCAAAAAGGAAAATCGGCAAAAAAAATTTATGGTTGGAAGTGATAAAAATGGACAATTTGAAATTTTATTTCATAACAGAAATGATCAACAGAACTCGGAATTAATAGCATTATGTTTTTTCTTGTGTATGAAATTACAACACTAAACTACTGCTCCATCCATTTGAAAAATTTTCAAAGTTTGTTATTTTTTCTAGTAGATGACTTCAAAAACTAATCAGTGGATGATATTTTAGTTGTAGTAAGGTACTGCTGTATAACTGTTCGAAGTGTCACACGAGATTTGCTTACTGTAATTATTAATAATGTTTATTAATTAAATTCGATGAACAAATTATTAATACTAATTGTTGTTAAGATCAAAAATTAGTAGCAATAAATAATGAATAATAGGCAATTATTAATAATTTAATTAATAATGCGCTAAGGATAGAGAAAATTAGAGTGGAATATAATAATTATGTAAAATGGAATTTTACGTTGACAATGTTACATCATTAGTTAAGGGAACTCAGAAGGCACGAAGAAACAAAATGTATCTTCAAAGAAGCCTCAATGAACATTAGAGAATTCCTTTCAAATGACAATGAATTCAACAAAATTATTTTTAAGCACATCAAGCAGAATTCATTGGAATCGATTATGTCGGTCCTCGTTTTATTAAAACTCAGATTTGCCAATTTCAAAAGATAGATGGCACTCTTCACATCGAGATTAGAATTAGTAGAAAATCTGTCGTCCGAAGATTTTTTGCACTTTAAGAAGATTCGTTCAATTGGTTTTTATATCATTATGGAACGAAATGCACAACAGAGTTCTTAACAATCGGTATAAAGTTGTTATGGGAAAAAGAGTTGATAACACTAATAGTAGAAAGAAATTACGTCCACTGACTTACGCAAATTTTGAAGATTGTTTAATCATGCGCAGAACTGATTTCGTTTCACCTAACGCTTCCCTCAATGTTCCAATCTTTAACGACAATGACCCCCGCAGAATTTTCATCACACAAACCAAATAACAAAGAGAAACTTATTAAGTACTGGTCAAGCATCCTTGGAATACAAGGAAAAATGAATATTTGACCAGCCTTCGAGAAAGAACTCAAAGAGAACAAGAGCTCTCCGGGAGGGATTGTGCAATGAACTGAAAATTTCGCGTTCCATGTGTGTCTTTTGTTAGAGACCAAATCGATTTGCAATGACGAATTGAATTGTTCCAGAAGTCTTTTGATCTGACAGTCACACTTATAAGCAACTGATACTATATGCAATGTTAAGAGCGAACTTCTACTATGTAAAGAGGAAAAATCGTTCAATTGATAATGACAGCTCTTTACTCACTGTCACGCGTTTTGTCCTAAGCCAATGTCCACTAGATGAAAAGTTTGGATCAAAAAAAAAAAGTATTTTAAGGTTCGACTCTATTTGCCTTTTGCGCACTCAGTTCAAAAGGCAATGAATGGCGCAGTAGTAGCAATAAGTGCGGAACGAAAGTACGACAATTTAGCACAAACTTTGATGGATTATTGGTATAATTCTATATTTAATTTATTAATTTATTCCCTATTGTTGTATAAATACGACATTGTAAACGAGCAATAAATCTGTGCAGTTATGATAACAGCAAAATCATTTACGTATTATTTAAAAAACTTTCTTGATATTAATTGGAGAATATAGAGAAGTAAAAAAAAAATTAAATAATTTGGAAAGCTAACAACTGAAGAATAACAATCCACAATGTGTTTAATCTTTGTTATTCATTTTTGTTTTAAAATAAAATTGCAATTAATCTGATTCCACTGTTTTCCTTTTTTTTTTTTCGTTTGATTTACCTTTTTCCGACTTTTTTTATTAACAGCCTGATCTTCTCAATATATTGAAATGTGATCTTCAATTAATATTTAATCACTTGCACATTGCACATTTACATTTTCCTAATTCCATTTCATCAAGTTAACAGTATTTGTCATCAATAACAACGGTTTTTCTTCCAAAACAAATAATCTTCCATCTTTCATTGTGTCACAATTCGTCAGTGTTGCTGCAATCATTGTATTAAAATAATTATTCAAATTCATTCCTTTCTTAATAAGAAGAAGCCGACGAATGGAACTAAAAGGATTTATCAAATTAAATCTCCTTGAAATCACTTAAAAGATAGTGTCTAAGTTAATTGTTTGTGAAATGAACATACATTCCTCTACTTGTTTTGTCGCCATTAGTAAGTCATCATCCCACAAATTTTCAGCTTTATAATCTGTGATAACATCAGCGACTGAAATTGGTGCTAGAGATTATTTGATTAAACTTATAGGCGAGGAGGAAACATTTGAGATTTAAAAGTGAGTCGCTGGCATTCGAATTGAAATCACTTTCTCTTTCCATTTGATCAAAAATCTTGAATAAAGCGGTTCAAATGATGTAGAATACAAGATATAAAGATTATAATTTTACTTAAAAGGAGATGCATACCTATTCCTGCTGCCATTGCTTCCATATTTTGCAGCCGCATACCCCCGCAACAGATGACGAAAGCAAGATACACTATCAACTTTGCCATTTTCGTAGTTTTATTGCAACTTTGCTGAAATTTTCACTTTGCTAATATTTTTTATCGATTAATTACGATATTATTTCAATACGATCTGATCTGAATCGCTTTTGATCATCGAATGAATGATTTTATTTTAAAATTTCATTCATTTCAACAATTTTAGCATGAATAAATTTACTGCATTACAATGGCAATTTAACATAAAGCTAAGGGAATTGCTATTCGGAAAGTTACTTCAGTGACTACTAGCGGATTTCAATTTCATAGCTCATTCTAATACAGTGAATTTGTTTTTAAATGCCAAATAATTCTTTATTTATGTCAGGAGAGATCAAGATTTAGCGAACAAAATACTTAATGATAGATACAGTATCCACGAGTAGCTTCATAAAGTTTGAAAAAAAATGAAGTACGAACTAATTGATAATTGAAGATTTACAAACTGCGCTTTTTATACTTTGCGATCCTGTGCATAACCAGTTTAATATTGCAGGTGTCACTCCCTTTTGAATAGAAGAAAGAAGAATGAAGGACTGAATATGACCGGAAAAAAGGAAAAACGAACTTCTAACCATTAAATTGTTTTGTTCTTACATTACAATCTATCAGCAATCTTTTATCATAAATTGAACAAAAATAACTAATTGCTCTAAATATTTAATTTTGAAATATCCGAAATCAAACTTTCTTCTCTGAAATATCTTCAATTGAAAATTTGAAAACGAATTCTGAGCTATTCTCACTCCAATATTACAAGATTTTTATAATTCCACCGCAAATTTGAAATCTATTTATTTTATTATGGAATATGGGCTAAAATCATCATTAAAACTGTTCAATTAATAAATTACAGCATTAATTTGACACTTATTGTATTATAGTTTAATCTTCTTTGTTCTTAGTTGTTGAAATCAATAAATGAGTCAAAATAAGTGACAAATACTGAGCAAATTTATTTTCATTACTTAAATCCGACAAAAACACAGCAAGTCATTATTTATTTCATTTGTATTTCTTTGGAAAAATTTTCACTGATAGAAATAATATCCAAAAGCATTTTCTTAAATATTAAATAAAAGGTGGGGAATAGTGGAACCAACTAATGGTTGGTGACCTAAAAACAGCACTTTTTATACTTCAAAAGCGGAATTCCTGAGTAGTCCAAAGCAAATAATCTTCCATCTTCCATTGTGTCACAATTCATCAATGTTGCTGCAATCATTCTGTTGAAATAATTATAAATCCATTTTTTCTTTATAAAATGAAAGCCTGGAACTATAAGGAATTATCAAAGTAAACCTCCTTGAAATCATCCAAAATTAAATAATGCCTAAATTAATTTTTTGTGAAATGAACATACATTCTTCAATTTGTGTTGTCGCTATTAGTAAGTCATCATCCCACAACTTTTCAGCTTTATAATCTGTGATAACATCAGCGATTGAAATTGGTGCTAGAGATTATTTGATTAAAATTACATAAAAGATGGAAACCCTAGAGACTTGAAATGATAATATGTTGTTTCTATTACAAAAACGAATGTCAGTGATATTCGAATTGAAATCGAATACTTACTGTTTTATCAAAAATCTGACTAAAATGGTTAAAATGATATATAATGGGATGTAAATACTGAGATTTTTATTTTACTTAAAAAGTGATGCATACCTACTACTGCTCCCATTCCTTGCTGATTTTGTTGCCGATTACAAAAGATGATAAAAGCAAGATATACTACCAATTTTGTCATTTTTCAAGTTTGGTTTATTGCAACTTTGATATTTGTTAAAAAATTCACTTTACTAAAATTTTTTAATGATACAGCTACGGAATCATTCCGACACAAACTGATCCGAAACAGTTTAATCGTTTTATGAAATGCTCAACTCAAGGTTTAATTGATAATTTGTCGTTAAATTTCCATGTCTTTCTTGAAAACAAGGTAAAAAAAAATTTGAATAGTCGACAAATTGTTTAATTTTTATTAATTTAGTAAATTTGTTTTCATAACTCATTTACTAATATATTGAATTATTAAACAGCAAATTTGAAGTAATACAAAAGTTTATTAATACAACAAATTTATTTTAGATTTAATATTGCTCCGAGCATGATTTAACACAGGGATTTCCACTGATAGAAATAATATCTAAAACTATTTCCTTAAATATTGAAAAAAGTGGGGAATAGTGGAACCAACTAATGATTGAAGATCTAAAAACAGCACTTTTTATACTTCAAAAGCGGAATTCCTGAATAGAACCTGTCTGATATCTGTAGTTGTATTCAAACTAACTATGTTTTTGCTGTAATTTTTACATTTTTCGAATTCAGTGGAAGAAAAAAAAGGATAGATTGAATCGAATAAGTAGTCAAAAAGAAAAGACGGATTTCTCGAAAAAAAAAACTTGATTTCATGTTATTTTATTCAGCAGCACTTATCAGAATTTATCAGTAATCTTTTATTACAAATTGTAGAAAGTAATTTTTTTTCAAAAATATTTAACTTTCAAATGTTTGAAATCAGATTTTTTGTGCTGGAATCCTTGCAGTGTAAATTTTATAAAAAAGGCATATTGATCAGTAATTTATCCGAGATTAGTCAAACGATAGTTCATATCAGCGTTTTCAAATGAAAAAAATTATCATAGAAAAAAAAAAGGATTATCATAAAAATTATTCCTTCATATAAACGAAATTTTTCATCTTTGATTATATTTTAATGTTTTCATTTTAGATACAACTTATTTCAAATGAATCTCTCCATATATGTTATTATTTTGGCTTGTCTTGGCTTCATTTTGGAAAAAAAACAAATTGCTGAAAAAGAAACCCCTGTTATCAATGAAAGCGAAACTGCTACAATTAAATGAAGTATAAATTTTCTAATATTTCTTATTTTTCATAAAAAAAGTTAAATGTTTTCAGAAACTAGTCAATGATTATAATTTATAATAAAAGATCACTGATAAATTGTGATAAGTGCTGGTGAATGAAATTAAATGAAATCAAGTTTTTTTTTTTCGAGAAATCCGTTTTTTCTTTTTGATTACTTATTCGATTCAATCTATCCTTTTTTTTCTTTCACTGAATTATGCAAAAATTACAGCAAAAAACACAAGTAGTTTGAATGCATCTACAGACATCAGACAGGTTCTATTCAGGAATTCTGTTTTTGAAGTATAAAAAGTGCTGTTTTTAGGTCTTCAACCATTAGTCGTTTCCACCCTTTTTTTTTTCAATATTTAAGAAAATAGTTTTAGATATTCTTTCTATCCACGAGAATTTCCTGTGTTAAATAATGCTCGGAGGAATATGAAATTTAAAATGACTGAATTAGGTGTATTAATAATTCTTGTTTTATTCGATAAAAATAAATTTGTTAAATTAGAAACAAGCGTAAAGTTTTATACGGTTACAATTAACTTGAACAATACAAACGTTCGTTAGCTGAATCATTTAAGTCTTCCGTATAACTACAAAATCAAGAATGATATTAAAATTGAAATACAAATGATCAGTTAAGCCTAATTGAGCATTTTATAAAACGGTTAAAACCTTTAGGTGTATCGAAATAATATCATAGTTAAAATTAGAGTGCATCAATAAAATCTGTAATTTAGGAAATATTGAAGTTGCACTAAAACTAATTTGAAATATGTCAAAGCTAATAGCGTGTCTTGCTTTAATCATGTATTGTGGTAATCAGCAACAAAATGCAATGGGAGCAAGGGGAGCAGTAGGTATGGATCTCTCTTCAAGTAAAACAAAATCTTGATATATATATATGTACATATATATACCGTATCATTGAAGCCATTTTGGTCAAGATTTCTCATACAAGAGGAAAGTGATTTCAATTCGAATTGGTACTCTGTAATGGAAACTGAGCTGTCACATTATCATTTCAAATCAACAAGGTTTAAAACTTTTCTGCAGTTTTAATCAAATCTCTTTTTTTTTAGCCGCTCAGGCTGTCACAGATTATAAAGCTGAAAAGTTGTGTGATGATGAGTTACTAATGGCGACAAAACAAGTAGAAGAATGTATGTTCATTTCACAAAAAATTAATTTAGACATTATTTGATTTTGAATGATTTCAAGAAGATTTAATTTAATAAATCCTTTTAGTTCCATTCATCGGCTTCTTTTTATTAAGAAAGGAATGAATTTGAATAATTATTTCAATACAATGATTGCAGCAATAATGACGAATTGTGACACAATGAAAGATGGAAGATTATTTATTTTGGAAGAAAAACCGCTGCTATTGATGACAAACACTGTTAATCTGATAAATTGAAATTAGGAGAATGTAAATATGCAAGTGATTGACGGTCATATTTCAATAAATTGAAAACATCGAGTTGTTAATAAAGAAAATGCAAAAAGGAAAATCGGCAAAAAAAATTTATGGTTGGAAGTGATAAAAATGGACAATTTGAAATTTTATTTCATAACAGAAATGATCAACAGAACTCGGAATTAATAGCATTATGTTTTTTCTTGTGTATGAAATTACAACACTAAACTACTGCTCCATCCATTTGAAAAATTTTCAAAGTTTGTTATTTTTTCTAGTAGATGACTTCAAAAACTAATCAGTGGATGATATTTTAGTTGTAGTAAGGTACTGCTGTATAACTAACTGTTCGAAGTGTCACACGAGATTTGCTTACGGTAATTATTAATAATGTTTATTAATTAAAATCGGTGAACAAATTATTAATACTAATTGTTGTTAAGATCAAAAATTAGTAGCAATAAATAATGAATAATAGGCAATTATTAATAATTTAATTAATAATGCGCTAAGGACAGAGAAAATTAGAGTGGAATATAATAATTATGTAAAATGGAATTTTACGTTGACAATGTTACATCATTAGTTAAGGGAACTCAGAAGGCACGAAGAAACAAAATGTATCTTCAAAGAAGCCTCAATGAACATTAGAGAATTCCTTTCAAATGACAATGAATTCAACAAAATTATTTTTAAGCACATCAAGCAGAATTCATTGGAATCGATTATGTCGGTCCTCGTTTTATTAAAACTCAGATTTGCCAATTTCAAAAGATACACACACACACATCGAGATTAAAATTAGTAGAAAATCTGTCGTCCGAAGATTTTTTGCACTTATTAAGAAGATTCGTTCAATTGGTTTTTATATCATTATGGAACGAAATGCACAACAGAGTTCTTAACAATCGGTATAAAGTTGTTATGGGAAAAAGAGTTGATAACACTAATAGTAGAAAGAGATTACGTCCACTGACTTACGCAAATTTTGAAGATTGTTTAATCATGCGCTGAACTGATTTCGTTTCACCTAACGCTTCCCTCAATGTTCCAATCTTTAACGACAATGACCCCCGCAGAATTTTCATCACACAAACCAAATAACAAAGAGAAACTTATTAAGTACTGGTCAAACATCCTTGGAATACAAGGAAAAATAAATATTTGACCAGCCTTCGAGAAAGAACTCAAAGAGAACAAGAGCTCTCCGGGAGGGAGGGATTGTGCAATGAACTGAAAATTTCGCGTTCCATGTGTGTCTTTTGTTAGAGACCAAATCGATTTGCAATGACGAATTGAATTGTTCCAGAAGTCTTTTGATCTGACAGTCACACTTATAAGCAACTGATACTATATGCAATGTTAAGAGCGAACTTCTACTATGTAAAGAGGAAAAATCGTTCAATCGATAATGACAGCTCTTTACTCACTGTCACGCGTTTTGTCCTAAGCCAATGTCCACTAGATGAAAAGCTTGGATCAAAAAAAAAAAGTATTTTAAGGTTCGACTCTATTTGCCTTTTGCGCACTCAGTTCAAAAGGCAATGAATGGCGCAGTAGTAGCAATAAGTGCGGAACGAAAGTACGACAATTTAGCACAAACTTTGATGGATTATTGGTATAATTCTATATTTAATTTATTAATTTATTCCCTATTGTTGTATAAATACGACATTGTAAACGAGCAATAAATCTGTGCAGTTATGATAACAGCAAAATCATTTACGTATTATTTAAAAAACTTTCTTGATATTAATTGGAGAATATAGAGAAGTAAAGAAAAATTTGAGTAATTTGGCTAACAACTGAAGAATAATAATCCACAATATGTTTAATCTTTGTTATTCATTTTTGTTTTAAAATAAAATTGCAATTAATCTGATTCCACTGTTTTCCTTTTTTTTTTTTCGTTTGATTTACCTTTTTCCGACTTTTTTTATTAACAGCCTGATCTTCTCAATATATTGAAATGTGATCTTCAATTAATATTTAATCACTTGCACATTGCACATTTACATTTTCCTAATTCCATTTCATCAAGTTAACAGTATTTGTCATCAATAACAACGGTTTTTCTTCCAGAACAAATAATCTTCCATCTTTCATTGTGTCACAATTCGTCAGTGTTGCTGCAATCATTGTATTAAAATAATTATTCAAATTCATTCATTTCTTAATAAAAAGAAGCCAGCAAATGGAACTGAAAGGAATTATCAAATTAAATCTCCTTGAAATCATTCAAAATTTAATGACGCCTAAATTAATTCTTGATGAGATGAACATACATTCTTCTACTTGCATTGTCTCCATTAATAAGTCATCATCCCATAACTTGTCAGCTCTATAATTTGTGACAACTTCAGCGGCTGAAATTGATGTTAGCGATTATTTGATTATAAGTAGAAATCTTTGAGATTTTAAATGATATACTCTTTTCACTGCAAAAGTGAATATCAGTGATATTCAAATTGAAATCATGTTTTATCAAAAATCTAAGTGGTTGAAATGAATATATATATATATATATATATATATATATATATATATATATATATATATATATATCGGGATTTTCATTTTACTTAAAGAGAGATGTATACCTGCTCCTGCTGCTGCTGCTCTTGCTCCTGCTTGAGCGTTTTGTTGTCGATTACAACATATGATGAAAGCAAGAAACACTATCAGCTTTGACATATTTGAAATTAGTTTTATTGCAACTTTAATATTCCCTAAAGTGCTGATTTCACTTTATTGATACATTTTAATTTTGATTACGGTGTTATTTCAAAGCTGTAGGATCCGAAACTTTTTAACTGTTTTATGAAATGCTCATCAATTTTAATATTACTTTTGCTTTTTTCCTTATACAAAAATGTTGAATTATTTAATTAATGATTGTTTGTTTACACTATCATTCTTTTATCTATAATGCAGTTTTTGTATTGGTCTGCTAATTCTGCAGCATGCATGAAATAGCCGAGACGCATTTACATACATTCAGGAAAACAGTAATTAAAAAAGAATTTGAATAATCAGCAGTTTAATTGTTGAAGTTAACTGTCACCATTTCAAACATTGCGCTTGTTGTTAATTTCACAAATTTATTCTCATAGCCCATTATTAATACAAAAAAAAAAAAAAAAAATCCCAAATATGTCAATTTATTGTTTTACATTACTCAGGAAAAGAAATTCTCATTGATGTAGCTAAAAATAATATTTGAAAATATTTTCTTAAATATTGGAAAAAAAAGGTGAAGAATGGTGGAACCGACCAATGGTGGAATGCCTAAAAACAGCACTTTTTATACTTCAAAAGCGGAATTCCTGGGTGGAACCTGTCTGATATCTGAGATCATCAACAATTATCACAATTTATCAGTAATCTTTTGTTATGAATTATAGACAATAACTAGTTTTTAAAAATATTTTTTTTTTTTAAACGTCTAAAATCAAATTTTTTTCTCTGAAGTCGCCGTAATTTAAATTTTATAATTTGAACACGTAGTTTTTTTTTTTATTAATTACAAAAGCAGTGTTGACGTCAGTGTTTCATGTGTCATGTGAGTTTTTCAAGAAAAATGTTTTCAAAAATAAATAAACTTTTTTTTTCAATGTTTTAAAATACAAATAAATAAATGTTTTCAAAAAACAAAAAATAAAAAAAAAATATTAATAAATGAAATTATTTTTGTATTGTAAAGAATTTTTACTTAAAATTATGCAGCAATTTATCATTAATGATTTCATTCCCTAATTCGTGCTTTCGGATATGCATAAACGAAATCAGTTATCATTACCTCACTTAATTTATTAATTTTCTACAAAATTACGATATACTAATATCAATGATTTGTAATATAAATGATTTGCTTTATTGTATAATTAATTAAAAGTAAATAAAATTTGAATAAATTTAAGATGAATGGAAGATAAGCCAAAGTAAACTTTTAAGGTAGTTTAAGTGAAAATTATTTCATAAAACAAAAGTTGAAAATATTGACATAAAATGAACTTTTCAGAAGATAAATGGAAGGATTACAGTCAGATGATGTTACATGGTGAATACATTTGACATCTGTAAGATTCTTCGTGTACTTCGTTGACAATGTTGTCAACATAATGTTGCCAATATGTGACAAAATGTTTATGATGCAATGTACTTTTCATTTGTAAAATTGATACTGATAACAAAATTGTTTAAAGAAAATAATGATAAGATAAAATCGAAAATTGAAATACGTATCGATCATTAGTTGAAAAAAATAAATCTATCTAAAAGACAACATGAATATTATACGAAAAGTAATAGTATTTTCTAGGCTAGCATTATAAACTTCAGATTTCATTTTAACTTTTTTTTTTTCAATTCGAAAACACTGATTCATTGATCCTTGTGTTCATCTCATAAAATTTTCATTCATTGATCCTTGTGCTCATCTCATAAAATTTAGATTGCAAAAATTTCAGAGAAAGAAAAATCTGACTTGAGACATTTTAGATGTTAAATGTTTTCATAAATAGCTACTTTCTATAATTTATAACAAAGAATTGCTGATAAATTGTGACAATTGCTGAAGATTAAAATAACTTAAAATCAAGTTTTTTTTTTCAAAAAAAAAGAAACAACTTGGTGGTTTAAAATCCGTTTTCTTTTTTTGATTACTTACTCGATTCAATCTATCCTTTTTTTTCTTCCACTGAATTCGAGAAATGTAAAAATCACAGCAAAAACATAAGTAGTTTGAATATATCTACAGATATTAGACAGGTTCTACTCAGGAATTCCGCTTTTGAAGTATAAAAAGTGTTGTTTTTAGGTCTTCAACCACTAATCGGTTCCACCATCTCCACTTTTTTCAATATTTAAGTTTCTATCACTGAAAATTTCCTGTGTTAAATCATGCTCGAAGCAATATAAAATTTAAATTCGCATTATTAATAATTCACTGTAATCAGTTGTTGTCAATAATAACAATTAATAACAAGTGCAGTGCTTGATAACTGGGTGACAATTAACTTGAACAATTTATTATTTACTATTCAGATGATTATTTTGATTGCTGTTTTTGTAAATGTATCTGAGCTATGTCATGCATAATGCAAACATTAGCAGATTTATTCTGCTATGTGTGTTCAAGTTTTAATTGAATGCATTAAATGTGTGTTTAATTGAATATATTTTTTTTAATTTGAATGTGTCTATAAAAAATGAATGATTGCTTATAAATGAACGTTAATTAAATCATTTCATGTCTTCCATTTAGGGACAGAATCAAGAATGATGTAGAAATTGAAAGATAAATCATCCATTAAGCCTCCCATTGAGCATTTTATAAAACATTTAAAACCGTTTTGGATCTGACTATGTAAAAAATACCGAAGTTAAAATTAGAATAAAATGAAATCAGCACTTCAGGAAATATTGAAATAAAACTAATTTTAAATATGTCAAAATTGATAGTATATCTTGCTTTCATCACATATTGTGGCAGAGCTGCTAACCAAAGAAACCGAGTCGCAGGTATCAAACAACTTCTCACTTTTCTTCTATTATTTTATTTCACTTCCAAATGAGATACAAATTTTAATATGTAATTCGCTCATTCTCAATCGTTCCAAACATTTTACTTAGACAAAACAGCATTTAATATGAAAGTAATTTCATTTCGAATGCTAGTGAAATCATTTTTGCAATATCAATAGTGACAAACAACGAATAATTAAAATAAAATAACAACTTAATCATTTGAAAAAAAAAAAATATTACTGTAATTCTTTGCGAAAAAGAAATTCGAAGAAGTGGAAAATAAAACTTCAAAGGACTAATTTATGACTGATAATTTGAAGTGATAGCTTGTTCTTTAATCTTAATGGGATATTCTTAGCACCAATTTCAGCCGCTGATCTTATCATAGATCATAAAGCTGATAAGTTATGGGATGATGGCATAATAATGGAGACAAAACAAGTAGAAGAATGTATGTTCATTTCACCAAGAATTAATTTAGGCATTATTCAATTTTGTGATTTCGAGAAGATTTAATTTAATAATTCTTTTTAGTTCGATACATGAGCTTTTTTTTATTAACGAAATAATGAATTTAAATAATTAAAAGATAATTTAAAAAAATAAAAAAAAATTTCTATATAACGATTGCAGCAACACTGATGAATTATGACACAATGGAAAATGGAAGATTATTTATTTTGGATGAAAAATCGCTGTTATTGATGACAAATACTGTTAATCTGATAAAGTGGAAATAGGAGAATATAAATGATTCTTCAATGTTAGCCTTAAATTATTTGTTTTTTTTTTTTTTTTTTTTACAATTTCTCTATAATTTTTAAATAATATGTGTATGATACAATTTAAATTATATAATTTGGAATTTTACTAATTACAAAAGCAGTAATAATATCAATAAGCCATGTGAGATTATTCAAATAATACTTTATATCAGTGATTTTAAAAAGAAAAAAAAATCGAAAAATAAAAATTATATTAATGAATGAAATTATTATTGTATTGTAGAAAATTTTTACTTTGTTTATGAATGAAATTGTATTGTAAAAAAATTTTATTATTACTTTGTTTACTTTTTATTTTCATTGATAATAAGGGTTTCTTTCTCAGCAATTTCTTTTTCTTCGAAAAAAGAAGCTAAAGCAAGCCAAAATAATAATATATATGGAGAGATTCATTTGAAATAAGTTGTATCTAAAATGAAAACATTAAAATATAATAAAAGATGAAAAATTTCATGGATATGAAGGAGTAATTTTTATGATAATTATCTAAAACTCATAGAGATATACACGAATTGGTAGAGAGCATAAATGATACGCAATTTTCATTTCAAATGTTTTGTTGCTGCCAAAAATTTGGTTACTTTAAGTTATTAAATAAATTGTGAGAGGATGGGAAGTTGAATTATCGGTGATGAAATGATTTTGTCAAATTAATAATGTCAATATGTGACAAAATGTTTATGGTTGCAATGTATTTTCCATGTGTAAAATTGATATGGGTAATAAAATTGTTTTAAAAAATAAGGATAAAATAAAATCGAAGGTTGAAGCTTGTAATTATTACTTGAAATGAATAAATGTTTGTAAAGGCAACATGAATATTGTTGGAAAAGTGATAATACTTTTTAAGCTAGCATTATAAACTTCAGATTTGATTTTATCTTTTTTTTAAATCTGAAAACGCTGATATGAACTATCGTTTGACTAATCTCGGATAAATTACTGATCAACATGCTTATTTTATAAAAATTTACACTGCAAGGATTCCAGCGCAAAAAATCTGATTTCAAACATTTGAAAGTTAAATATTTTTAAAAAAGTTACTTTCTAAAATTTGTAACAGAGAATTAGGTAATTTGTTACAATTGCTGAAGACTAAAATAACTTAAAATCAAGTTTTTTTTTTTTTCAAAAAACAAAAAGAAAAAAGCAACTTGGTGATTTTATTTATTTTTTTTTCAATACTTACTGATCCAATCTATACCTTTTTTCTTCCACTGAATTCGAAAAATGTGAAAAACACAGCAAAACCATAGATAGTTCAAATACATCTACAGATATCAGACAGGTTCTACTCAGGATTTCCGCTTTTGAAGTATAAAATGTGTTGTTTTTAGGTCTTCAACCATTAGTTGGTTCCACTATTCCCCACCTTTTATTTAATATTTAAGAAAATGTTTTTGGATATTATTTCTATCAGTGAAAAGTTTTTTGCGTTAAATCATGCTTGGGGCAATATAAAATTTAAGATAAATTTTTTGTTTTAATAATCTTTTGTTTTACTTCAAATTTGCTGTTTAATTATTCAGGTATTAGTAAATAACTTATGAGAGCAAATTTGTCAGATTGATAAAATACTCTACAAAATGCTATATACAGTTAACTGAACAATGTATTATTAATTATTCAAATTCTTTTTTGTTTATTGTTTTCTTGAATGCATGTAAATGCATCTGAGCTATTTCGTGCATGCTGCAAGAATAGCATAGCAATACAACGACTGCATAGCGAAAAATCAAGAGTAATATGAAAATTAAGGGACAAAAAAGGGACAAATCAATTAAGCCATCCATTAAGCATTTCATGAAACGATAAAACCGCTTCGGATCTGATTTTGTTGAAATAATACCGTAGCTAAAATTACAAATTATCAATAAAACGCATTTCAGGAAATATTGAAATTGCAATAAAACTAATTTGAAATATGTCAAAGTTGATAGTATATCTTTCTTTCATTGTCTATTGTGGTAATCAGCAACAAAATCGGCAAGGAATGAGAGTCGCACCAGTAGGTATGCATCGACCTCTCAGTAAAATAAAAATCTCGAAATATATATGAATCTCGTATTTTACATCATTTCAATCACTTTAATCTGATTTCTGATAACAGGTAGCAGATTTCAATTCGAATATCGCTGATATTCCTTTTTTATCATTTAAAATTTTAAAGTTTTGTACTTCGTTTGTAATTTTAATCAAATAATCAATTCCAGCTGCTGATGTTATCACAGATTATAAACTTGACAAACTGTGGGATGATGAGTTACTGATGGAGATAACGCAAGTGGAAGAATGTATGCTCATTTCATGAAGAATTAACACAAGCATTATCTTTTAAGTGATTTCAAGGAGATTTAATTTCATAATTCGTTTTAGTTTTTAGTTTCTTTTTATAAAAAGGAATGAATTTGAATAATTATTTCAATACAATGATTGCAGCAACATTGACGAATTGTGACACAATGGAAAATGGAAGATTATTTATTTTGGAAGAAAAACCGCTGCTATTGATGACAAACACTGTTAATCTGATAAATTGAAATTAGGAGAATGTAAATATGCAAGTGATTGACAGTCACATTTCAATAAATTGAGAACATCGAGTTGTTAATAAAGGAAATCCGATAAAGGAATACCAAACGAAAAAAGAGGAACACTAAAACTGATAAAATTTTGAATTTTTGAAAATTTGTTTACAACACAAAAGAATAACAATAGCTTCTAAATTAACGTTTTTCTTTCATATTTTCACTATTTCCCTATATCCTCCAGTTAGTGTCAACAAAGTAGTACTTATATATTGCTGTAAATACAGAATGTCCACTAACAGCTTTATTGTTCTCTTACAATATCGTATTTGTACAATAACAGTAAGGAATAAATTAGAATAATATCAATAATCCGTCAAATGCGTGATGCCATGACGTACTTTCTCTCTACACGTAATTTCTATTACTGCGCTATTACCTTTTAACTGAAATGAACTGAACTGAGTGAGCGAAAGCCGGAGTAAATCATCGAGTCGAATCTCACAATACTCCAAGGAGTAAGTGATCTAACTTTTCGTATAGTGAACATTGGCGACAGTTAGATCAAAAGGCTTCTGGAACGATTCGACATTGCAAATCGATTTGGTTTATTGAAGAAAGAACGGTCAGATTGGAAAGTCTTAACAATAAAATTGGGAACAATATTCAACACACTAAGCAATGTATATGTTATTTGTTAACATAGTAGAACTGTACTGAATGATAGATATAAGCTCTACTATAAGTGGAAGATGATTATTGAATAAAATGATTTCTCCATTTATGGTATAAAGTTGAAATAATTATATATTTGTCTATAGAATATTAATTAAATTAGACAATCTGTAGTGAACAAATTTGTATTTTCTGATTTAATATAAAATAATTTTGACAGATTATATTTTGGTTTTTTTGACATTTTAGTGTCATATCGTTTCATTGTTATAAACTCAAGATAGTAAGTCACATTATCTGTTAAGCATTCAGAAAGTTCAAGAGTGGAAATAGCAGGTTTAGGAATTTTGAAATATTTTGACTATCGTTTGACTAATCTCGGATGAATTACTTATCCATGTGTTCATTTTATAAAATTTGAACTGCAAGGATTACGGAGAAAAAAAAAATGACTTGAGACATTTTTAAAAGTCAAATCTTTTAATAAATAGCTGCTTTTTATAATTTATAACAAAGAATTACTGATAAACTGAAGAATAAAATAACTTAAAATCAAGTTTTTATTCGAAAAAAACGATTTGATAAAAATTTGTTTTATCCGACTCAATCTATCTCTTTTTTCTTCCACTAAATTCGAGAAATATGAAAATCACAGCAAAAACACAAGTAGTTTGAATGCATCTAACAGATATCAGACAGGTCCTATTCATGAATTCCGCTTTTGAAGTATAAAAAGTGCTGTTTTTAGGTCTTCAACCACTAGTTGGTTCCACTATTCCCCACTCAATATTTAATAAAATAGTTTTAGATATTATTTCTATCAGTGGAGCCTTTCTTTCTTATTTAAGAGCCTTTCTTATTTATTATTGTACTTGGCTTTGACAAATTCATGGAGCTAGCAGCCAGGATAGTATATCGAAACTATACTTTTAAGTTCGTAGTATTTGCCTGTGAATATGAGATAAAGAAATTTTACCAATTTTAACAACGATTTTTTTCTATTTCTCATCACAAAATAAACAGATTCCAAACTTGATCCAGAATTAAAGTCCTGTAATATTGAAATTTGCATATTTTCAAACTAATAATAGTTCCTCTTGATCAGCTATTAAATTTATGATAGTTTGTGTATTCTTTTCTTCATCTTTCCTTTTTGTTGCGATTGACGTATTCTGGATGAGATTTGACCATTCCTGAACAAATGTTTCGAGCGTAATAATCAAGGCGTCAGGTCATATTTTCTGAAGATTCACAATTTGATTATGCATTGCTTTCAAGTTCTCTTGAAAGCGTTTGATCCAGTCATAACAAAACGATCACCAAGTTTTTTTTTTTTTGAAAAAAATACCTGATTATAAGTGCTTTTATCCTTATATAAAAATTATATATTCTTTCTATATAAAATATGCAAAAAATTCCACGTGTCCAAATTATAAAATTCAAATTGCAGAGATTTCAGAGAAAAAACTTGATTTTAGGCAATAAAAGGTTAAATGTTTTCAGAAACCAGTTATTGATTATAATTTATAATAAAAGATTACTGATAAATTGTGATAACCGTTGGCGAACAAAATAACGTGTGGTCATAAATCTCATCACTTATTCGATTCAATTTACACTTTGTCTTTCATCTAGTGGATTCGAGAAATGCAAAATCACAGCAAAACCATAGGTAGTTTGAATACATCTACAGATATCACAGGTTCTACTCAGGATTTCCGCTTTTGAAGTATAAAATGTGTTGTTTTTAGGTCTTCAGCCATTAGTTGGTTCCACTATTCCCCACCTTTTATTCAATATTTAAGAAAATGCTTTTGGATATTATTTCTATCAGTGAAAAGTTTTCCAAAGAAACACAAGTAAAATAAATAATGACTTCCTCGCATTTAAGTAATGAAAATGAATTTGCTCAGTATTTGTCACTTAATTTGACTCATTTATTGATTTCAACAACTAAGAACAAAGAAGATTAAACTATAATACAATAAGTGTCAAATTAATGCTGTAATTTATTAATTGAACAGTTTTAATGATGATTTTAGCCCATATTCCATAATAAAATAAATAGATTTCAAATTTCCGGTGGAATTATAAAAATCTTGTAATATTGGAATGAGAATAGCTCAGAATTCGTTTTCAAATTTTCAATTGAAGATATTTCAGAGAAGAAAGTTTGATTTCGGATATTTCAAAATTAAGTATTTAGAGCAAATAGTTATTTTTGTTCAATTTATGATAAAAGATTGCTGATAGATTGTAATGTAAGAACAAAACAATTTAATGGTTAGAAGTTCGTTTTTCCTTTTTTTCCGGTCGTATTCAGTCCTTCATTCTTCTTTCTTCTATTCAAAAGGGAGTGACACCTGCAATATTAAACTGGTTATGCACAGGATCGCAAAGTATAAAAAGCGCAGTTTGTAAATCTTCAATTATCAATTAGTTCGTACTTCATTTTTTTTCAAACTTTATGAAGCTACTCGTGGATACTGTATCTATCATTAAGTATTTTGTTCGCTAAATCTTGATCTCTCCTGACATAAATAAAGAATTATTTGGCATTTAAAAACAAATTCACTGTATTAGAATGAGCTATGAAATTGAAATCCGCTAGTAGTCACTGAAGTAACTTTCCGAATAGCAATTCCCTTAGCTTTATGTTAAATTGCCATTGTAATGCAGTAAATTTATTCATGCTAAAATTGTTGAAATGAATGAAATTTTAAAATAAAATCATTCATTCGATGATCAAAAGCGATTCAGATCAGATCGTATTGAAATAATATCGTAGTTAATCGATAAAAAATATTAATAAGGTGAAATCTGTACTTTAGCAAATATCAAAGTTGCGATAAAACAACGAAAATGGCAAAGTTGATAGTGTATCTTGCTTTCATTATATATTGTGGCGGAAATATGATGCAGCTGCAAAATATGCAAGCAATGGCAGCAGGAATAGGTATGCATCTCCTTTTAAGTAAAATTATAATCTTTATATCTTGTATTCTACATCATTTGAACCGCTTTATTCGAGATTTTTGATCAAATGGAAAGAGAAAGTGATTTCAATTCGAATGCCAGCGACTCACTTTTAAATCTCAAATATTTCCTCCTCGCCTATAAGTTTAATCAAATAATTTCAGTCGCTGATGTTATCACAGATTATAAAGCTGACAAGTTATGGGATGATTACTTATTAATGGAGACAACGCAAGTAGAAGAATGTATGTTCATTTTATAAGGAATTAACTTAGGCATTATTTAATTTTGAGTGATTTCAAGATGATTTAAGATAAATTTGACAATTCCTTTTAGTTCGATTCGTAGACTTCTTTTTATTGAGGAAAGAATGAATTTAAATAATTAAAAAAATTATTTAATAACTAAGAAATAATTTAAAAAAGAGAAAATCTCTATACAACGATTGCAGCAACATTGACGAATTGTGACACAATGGAAAATGGAAGATTATTTATTTTGAAAGAAAAACCGCTGTTATTGATGGCAGATACTGTTAACTTGGTGAAATGGAATTAGGAAACTGCAAATGTGCAATGTACAAGTGATTAAATATTAATTGAAGATCACATTTCAATATATTGAGAAGATCAGGCTGTTAATAAAAGAAATCGGAAAAAGGTGAATCAAACGAAAAAGAAAAAGAAAATCGGATTATTTGCAATTTTAATATTTTACAACAAAAATAAATAACAAGGATTAAACATATTGTGGATTATTATTCTTCAGTTATTAGCCATCCAAATTATTCATTTTTTTTTTTTTTACTTTTCTACATTCTCCAATTAGTATCACGAAAGTTTTCTAAATAGTACGTAAATGATTTTGCTGTTATCACAACTGCAGAACGTCAGTAACAGATTTATTGTTCTCTTACAATATCGTATTTGTACAATAACAGTTATAAATAAATTAAATATAGAATGATATCAATTGCCCATCAAAATATGTGCTAAGTTGTCATGGAGAGCTTTTCTTACTACAGAAGAATATTCTCTTTTAGTTCTTTCTCGAGAATTGGTCAAACTTTAATTTGGATAAGTCATAAAAAGTAGTAACGTATGTGGATTTATCTATTCTTGTTTGATAAACAATGGCAGTAAAAGTAAGACAAAATTCCAATTTATGAATAAAAGTTTTTTAACAAAATAAGAAAATCAATGAGTGAATAAAATAAGCTTAAAAATTTTAAGCATTAAACGAGCGAATTTATGGAAAATATAACTGCTAATTAATAATTAAAATAATTCGATTTGTATTTTAAATTGCTCTGCTAAAAAAATCGTTGCCTAGAAAACATTCAAATAATGCAATTTAAATTATATTTATATTCAATATTATACTCTATTCAAGTTTAATAATTTATATTCAATTATGTCCAAATTTAATAATTTATCAACATATATGTACATTGAATTTCAAAAAAAGGATTCATGCAAATATGATTTAAAATTTATTGTTTAAATTTTAAAGATTTTAATAAGAATGGCAAAATGCACTACCCATTATGCCTGCGACATTTTTCCGTTTTGCCATCATCCGAATTTCGTTTGATGGATTTTTTTAACCGAATCTACAGATGAAATCGCCCAATTCCATACCCATTTCTGGTCACATTAGGTCTGGATGCATCGGTTAATTTCACTCATTAACGCAGTATGTTTTAGAAATTGTTTCGTTTTGAAATTTTTTCAATATAATTTATAGACGTTGCTTCTTGTTTTTGTCCACATTTTCCTGATTCTCGAATGTTCGTTTTTCATTCCTAAAAAGTAAATTTTGAACAAAACCAATAAAACTTTGACCACTGTCCATCAAAGCAGAGTCATCGTCAAATTTATCATAGTTTGACACTTTGCATAAAATTAAATTCAAAAAATTTCTAAGATTCATTAATCTGCTCTTCTTCAGTGCAAAAAGACCAAAAGCGCATCAATCATAATTGTTTATTTCAGTTGTGCTTCTTTCATCGTATAAAATATTTTTCGGTATATCTTTCATCTTTCGATCTATCCTTATCACTTTTATCTGTTACTTCATAAATATCACTAAAATATGATCTCCAATGAAAATCAACAATGAAAAGATTATTTTAATAATTGATAGAAATTAATAATAACATTATCATCATATACTACTGATTTATATATGAAGCAATAAAAGAAACAATTGACATTGACCATAGTAAATTAGAAAATAAAAGTTAACCTTTGAACAGAAAAGAAAAATTTCATTTTTATAAAATATTAATCATAAAAATTATCTAAGAAAAGTTAACAAATTTATAATGTCTCATTTCTTTTCCTGAAATTTCTCAAATTATTTTCATTCAATAGTCAGATAATCCTACAAAGTAACATCAAAAATATGCAAAAACGAATTATTTTTTTTTTTATTAACTGAGCCATTTCAATTTATATTTTTCTTAATTATTAGAATGCGTTTCACATTTACAACACGAAGGATATTTTTCATTTTCTGCTATTTCAGCTATTGTAAAAAGTTTTTTTTTTTTAAATATATAATTATTTAAACTTAAGAAGTAGCTGCAAATTAGAAAAAACATTCCAATTGAACATACAATGCTAATAACTCCTAGCGGCATTTTAATGAATTTTTTATAAATCTCATTATTATATTAATGTAATATCTAATGTGCAAAATATTTGCTCTATAATTTGAAAAGAAAAACGAATATTTTAGCTCTTTCTAATTTGCAAAAATTAGCCCAATAAATTAGTAATTAAATGCATAAAAATTAAAATGCTGAATTTTTATGCATTTCACAAATGTGAAATAAAATTTTGTAAAGTGTAAAAAATTTGTATTTCATTTTCAAAAGAGCGTTGCAAAAAAAAGGAAATTTGAAGGAACAAAAAAAATTTGTGTTATAAAATTGAATTGTAATTTTCTCAATTAAGGCCAATTAAGAAAAATCACTAGCAGAAGATCAGGTTTTCATATTTTTAATAGTGTATATTGAAATAATTGGTCGTATGCATTAAGGTTATATATACTAGGAATGGTGGGTAAATAATTCACCCATGCATTCTATATTTCCCAAGAAATAAATAAAAAACATACTTTCATCAAAGTTATGCAATATTTTTAAAAAAATAAAAAATAATAAATAAATAACGCAGTAGCATTCATAATTTGGAGAAAACTACCACTGTTAAATTTAGATTATTCGACATTTTGAATTACAAAAAAAATTTATTTTTGCCAACAAAAACTAATTTTTTATCATTGATTTTATCATTAAACAAATTTCAGTGCTTTGAATGTTTAAAATTAAACTATTCCAAAAAGTTCTATGTATTTGTGAAAATATAAACTTCAAATAAATCCTAAAGCATTCAAATATTATGCATCATATAAAATAAAAATATCTTAAATAAGAAATGACTAGGAAATTTTTAATAATATATATGTATATAAGAGGAGCAGAATTGTAAAAGAAATAAATTTTTTTACACACTGTAAATTTTCCATCGGTGCTTCTATCATTTAACTTCCTGTCAATTCCTTAAATCTTACATAAAACTAACAAATTATTATATTTTTGAACTGATTCAGGTGCAAATTTAAAAACTTATATTTTACATAATGTAATACAAGAAAAAGACAAAAATTTGTGAAGAAAATAACAGCAAATTTAGAAATAATTATACATCAAACATTTCAGAAACAAACCTATGAAATACGACTGGAAAATTTTTAATAAAATTGTTACAACTTTTAAGTAAGACTCGAAATATTGACATCAAAAAATAAATGCCAATGCATCAAACTAATTGATCATTACGTCTAGTAAATTAATAAATATATATATAAATGAAAAATTACAGGTACAAAAATTACAGTTATAAGAGATGTCAAGATTGATGAAGCTAGTTTTTTCCTAATTACCAGAAATTGAAAGAAAAAAAAAATTATGTCAAGAAAGAAAATTCTCCTAGACGGAAAGAATACTTTAAATAGTAACAAAAGAAGAAATTGACTTAATCAATAATTAGATCAAAGAATTAGGTGAGAAAAAGTTTGTTTGACTGTGAACAAAATCATATTTTAGATGAATACAATTAATTGGAAAATAAAAAAATAAACACTAGCACGTCAAACTATTTGATTATGTCTAATAAATTTTCAAAAAAAAAAGTATAAATTCTTAAAATTTATAATTGAAAAATTTTCGACTATTCTCAAAATAAATTTCAAGTTTTGATTAACTTTGTAATAAGAAATCAAAAAATTTGAACAATATGAGCAAAATTATTGCATGAAGACATAAAAGTGATAATTCGAATTATAAAACTTTGATAAATCATTTCAAGAATTACTAATTAATTAGAAAAGTAATTATATTTCTCGTGTTATTAATTTTTGTCTTACTTTATAATTGAAAGAATTAAAAATACTACAAAAGAATTAAAAGAATTTAAAAGAATTAAAAAAATACTACAAAAGAAAAAAAAAGTTTGTGAGACGAGAAAGAGTTGCATTGTGGTGTGGGCGAGATGGCCGAGCGGTCTAAGGCGCTGGTTTAAGGCACCAGTCTCTTCGGAGGCGTGGGTTCGAATCCCACTCTCGTCAACCCCACATTTTCCCGGCCAAATCATTTATGCATTATAAATTTTTACCTACAAATGATTGGAAAGTAGGAAAAACAAGTTTTCCTTTAATTTCACAAAAAAAATAAAAATCCTAAATTTTAGAATAGCAACAAATTTTATTGTGAAATTCCCCATTTAATCTATACTTTGATGTCGATACGTTTCAAACTTTTTCATTTTTTTTATTTTTCAAAAATTTAAAATTGCATTATCTAAAATATAAGAAATGAAACAACATTTTTATTCAGATTATTTGTATTAGCTAAAATTAAAATACTTTTTGTTGAATATGTATAAAGTTTACTGTATCGCAGTTTTTACTAAAATACTGTATTACAGTATTTAAAATTACTGTATTACAGTATATCCGACAAATCATTATTGATATTTTGAATGATAATACTGCAATGATTAGACAAAATTTTACAAATTGAAATAATCTGCCAAGTATTCTCCAATTTCTCCCAATCTAAATGGATGCTAGCATTTCTAGGTTTCATATGAACTGTAAATTTAGTCCAATTTAAAACATTCCCTTATCTTTCCAAGCAATCATATTCTAGAATTTTCTTAGTAAAAAAAAAAGCGAAATGTTTGAAAAGCATTCAGATAAAATTAGTAAAACGAAATCTTAGCTCTTTTCAATAAATTATTTATTTTGGACTTAATTTATTAATCAACATTCATTGCTTCGTTGCAAATTTTCTATTTAAATGGTTGTAATTGAATTCAAATCATCAATTGTTGTAATAAATTGTTGCAATTCAAACTCGAATTATCAATTTGTTGTAATAAATTATTGCAATTTGAAAAGATTTATTTGTATTTTTCATTATTTATTTTCTTTAAATTCATTTGTTTAATTATTTGCTATTTTTTCCCATAATTGGGCATATTTTATAA